TCGCCATTAATCCTGAGTTGGTCTTCGACCGTCCACAAAATGCAACGTTGTATAGTCTATCATGCAGTAATTTATCTGCTGCTGGACAAGCTTAATATGTAGCACTTAATCGTGTAAGATCTTTAGACGGTATTCGGATTGAAGAACTTGATTACTCTAAGTTAACAGGAACAACCCCATGCAACAGTGAAGCTTTAAATGAAATGATTAGTTTACGAAATGGCATGTGACCAATTCATCATGATCTCACAACGCGACCGTATTGCTAAAACGTTTTACTTGAATAATGAGTCGATTGTTGCAACGATCCGGAAGCTACAACAAGATTTTGGTCGAAATAAGGTGCCCAGTGTCAACACCATTCGTCCGTTGGTGCGGAAATTTGAACAAACGGGTAAAGTTAAAGACTTGCCAAGGTCGGGTCGTGTCCGAAATGTTCGTACTCTGGAAAATATCGAGAGAGTTCGTGAAAGTGTAGTGGAGCGCCCTGAAACGTCTAACAGACATCGTTCTCAAGAACTGGGTAGTCGTCGCACGTCATTATGCACTATTTTAAAAAAAGGCTTGCATTTATGGCCATACAAAATTAGAGAACCCTCGTGTTATCCATCAACGACCACGACATCCTCGTCGAGTCACAGTTTGGTGCGGTGTTTGGTATGGAGGTGTCATTGGACCTTACTTCTTTGAAGACGCTGCAGGTAATCTTAGTGTCACTGGCGAGCGCTACCGTGATATGATGCAAAACTTGCTGCCTCCTAAAACCCAAAAATTTAACCTGCAAAACATGTGGTTCCAGCAGGACGGAGCAACTTGTCACACAGCTGGGGAAACAATGAATCTTTTGCGATCTATATTTCCGGTACGTTTAATTTCTCGAATTGGTGATGCCAACTGGCCACCAAGGTTACCGGTTTTAACGGCTCGTGACTTTTTTATGGGGATTTTTGAAAAATAGGGTTTATGCCAATAGCAGCTGAAGAACAATATCACGGAAGCGAATGAAACCTACCAAAAACTGATGGAAAAATGTAATCAAGAGGGCTCAGGTTTGCGCGGCTTCTAGAGGCCGACATTTGTCTGATAGTATTTTTCATACATAAGTTTAAGATGAAAAAAATGGACGTATTTTATTTCCTTTCCCAAATATTCAAGATACAACTCAGTCAGTTACATATCGGCCACCCTGTATATCTATGAATCTTTGAACTTAAAAAAAAGAACTGTAATGGATCACATGGTTTAGAACGAATTGATCCTATACTGCATTTCTAGGAGATGCAGTTTGAATCGCATGCTATTGATATTTGAGATATCAATATTCCTGCTAAACCTTTTAAAGAGGGCCACTGCATTATACGTGAAAAACCTATAAAAGAGTGCTGTTACATATATAGGTACAAAAAGGTTTTGATATCTTATATTGACATTATGTATACTTGACCTAGGAACTAGCTTTTGTATCAAATATACAAGGTTCTTAGTATGTAACACACTATTCAGTGTTGTTAATTGTAAAAATGTTGGAACAGAAAATTGATTTTGAACCATTGTAGAAGTCTGAAACTATTAGATATGTGGTCAAATTCACGCAACTGACCAACAAAACGGCAGCAGTTATTCTGCAATCTCTGTGAGCGCATTTGAGTTGAATAGTCTCGGCATGGATAAAAACCTACCAAACCATAATCATCGACAGCACTCAATTTTCAGCCAGCTTTTTCCTCGTCTTAAAGTTAATTATTGGCGTACAGTATTCTCAGTTTCAAATATCACCTGAAGATCATATCAAGGTCACTTCAAGATATATTTCAAAAGATGTTTAGTATTATCCACAGGCGTTTTACATACGTTTTTGCGGTCGTCGGGTCAATTCAATCAGATTAGTTTGTCTCTAAGAAAGCATTTTAATGCAGCTTAAAAGTAAAATAACAGCATCCGACTGCCTGCAACAATATGGCAGTATATAAGGTTATATTTCTCAATAACTTGCAATAGTTAACAAAAACTGAGACTAGATTTTATCTGGCAGTACTTCAAGATTCACAAACGTAATCTATTCCAATTGGGTAAGCGGTGGATCCTTATTTAAAACCCCTTTAAGTAAGACTAAAATAAAGGAGTGACTAAACTCAAAATAGTTCAACTCATGGTGTGCAAGAAAACAACAACAATGATAGTTTTGTAATTCATCAAATGAATCTGCGTAATCTCTTTATTGTGATCCATATTGAAATATTTTCAACACGTAACGGATAATTTTGCCGGTAAGAAAAGTGCCGAAAAACTTCAAGTTTAATAGCCTGTTATGGTAAATGTACTATGCAAAGTTCAGGGGAGTATCAAAATATGGTTCAGAGCCTCTATGGTAGAATATTGCCTAGCTGTATTGGCACTATTTACGTCTATTAAAATACACCTTGGGAAAAAACATTATTATACATTATGATGAGGAAGAGAGATGGAAATATACAAAAGTATGTAGGTGCGTGAAAGACACTCGATTGTAGGATCCTATGTGGCAGCGTCTTAGTGTGACGGACAACGGGGTAAAGTAGAAGAGTGATAAAAGAGAGAGATGGCAGAACGGGCGCTGGCGCCTACCGCTTAGACGGATGCGCTCAACAAATGCGATTTGTTTCTCCCATTCGCAGAGTTGCCGATACCAATATGTCATATTTCTAAGAAATCTAAGTCTACCCAAATTTCGGGAAAAATAGCTGCGGATTCCACATAAGAGTATTCCAAAAATGAAAAAAGTTGAAACTATTAAAATTGTATTAATGTTTCATGGTTCAAATCATATTTTTCATGTTTGTATAATGTTGTATAAATGATTTTGTAATCCCTATTCTTGTTGCCAGTAGAGATACAACAGTATTGAGAGAAATCATGGACCGCTAGATAGGGCTACAACTACCATATGACTATCAAATAGTAGTAATAAACAGGGTTTGTTTATAGCACAGTTGCCTGGTGTGGCGAATTTGCGCCATAGGGGCGATTTGACAACTTTGAAGGACAACTATAACGGTTACTATGGTGCCCGGTATTCGGGAATCTGGCAATACCTGATGATTCCTAACGTTTATTACGCCAGATTGTTTGCTGACTTGCGCAGTACAACATGACAATCAACGTGACTGAGCACCTGGTAACCCTGGTTTAAGGTGTTATATTTAAAGAGCTTGGGGCAGTTAGGTATCTAGGTCACATTTTTTAATGTATTTCGAGAAATCCGTAATGTTGAGTAAATACTAGATCACGTTTCTTGCTTAGTTTGCTGAAAATTCTACAATAGACGTACATTTTGAGAAACAGAGATTTGGTGACGACAAAATCGTAAAAATATAACGCATTTTCGTAAAATAATTTCTTTGTTGAAAAGACTGTGGCTTGATGACCCATTGAACGAGTATAGTGTCCCGCTCCGCTTTGAATATTCGAAACACTATACTCCAGCAGCATTCAGCTTCAATGTTATCTTCATGAAGTTCTAACGTCTAGGCCATGCTGATTAAAAGCTTGAATGAATCAACACTTAACTCTAAATTCCCCACAATTCGGGAAGCTCTACTCAAATTGGCAACACAGCGTATCTGCCTATTATTCTCATTCGTGATACAGGTCTGCGGTTAACGGTAGGAAATATGTACGAATAGCGATGAAAGTAGACGAGCCTATGCGCGGTTGCCAAGAAATGATTTCCCATGTATAACAATGGTTTTTCCTAAGGTGTATATCTGTCCATGTAGAAGAGTTTAGATACCGTATCTTTTTGTCTTTGCATCAACCTCATTCTAGACTTCTTTGGTTATTGATATAACGTTTCTGTTACTTGTTTCACGTTACCACGATAAAGGAAAATCTTTTTGACGTATGCCAAGGACCATGAAAAGACTGACATTACAGATTAGATGTTCTATAGTGGCAAAATATAGAGTATATTTTCCCGATGGCTGGTAATAGCTACTTGGCGTTGACCAACTTCACTTTCTTATACATATTTTATATTGAGCATACACCATTTAGAGACTCGCACAGTTATTACGTAGCTTATTTGGTGACATTACACCGGTTTTTTTGACATTATGTCGATTTTTTTGACAGTATGTAGGTTTTTATGATATTATGTAGGTTTTCCTACAAGAGATCAACTTGGAACGAGCTGTCATTCACTTCATTGTCCCTTGTAGCAAGCGCGGAATGAAATATTTGCACACTAGCGTATCTAGTCAAAAACTTGACATTTTATTCTTTTTTTGATACATTATGTAGATTTCTTATGTCCTGCCAGCAATTTAATTATGGTTCCTTCTACGACGGAAGAATACATCAAAATTGTGCAAATTTACTAAAATTCAGTCTAATTGTTTTATGAAAATGTTTATAGTGAAATTATTGTGTTAGCAGAAAGCGTTACTGTAAATATGAATTTTTCTTGGGCCTAATTCGATAATAATAACAATAATAATTGGCATTTCAACAAGATGGGCTATGTGCCATGTGGCGAGGGAAACTTTGGAATTGTGACGGACACAATTCTCTGAGTCTTCGGAAAGCCTTGGCAGAATGTAATCTAACCCCGCTTGCTTGCGTACGATTTATTGTGTGTATTTCTCAACGACAAGATCGTTTCAAATAATCGGCAGATAACTGATGACTTGGAGCAGAACACTTATCAAATTATTAGTGAATTTAAGCTACAATTGTGCTAAAATGTTGTTGAGTATTTTAGTCTAAGAGTGGTAATTTCTAGAAACAGTTGAAAGATAACTTCCATAATTCTACGTTCGTAAACAGGTTGATTTTATTTTAATACAAGAACTCAAAGTATCTATTCGGATACCTTTTACAAATAAATAGGACTTCAGTACAAATAGCGCTGGGCAAGGGAAATTAAAGGTCATATTTTAAAAATAACAGTAACTCTGTATTTGGTTGGGTAAATGTTACTATAAAGAAATATACAATAATATATTTACATATACATATTCACAGTCAAAAATTATTGTCTTATCTATATAAATAAAATATTAAAAAATAAAAAAAGTAATATACAAACATAATAATTTCAGGTTACACTAATGTAGTCATTAAAAAAATTAATTGTGATTCGCATATAAGTCAAATTGTCGATTAATTTTTGTGATGGCACGAAAATATTCGGGATATTTGGTATATACTTACAAGAAAAATCACTATAGATATACATAAATATAGTTGGAAGTATATAAAAAATACTTCAATCATCATGATATATTCATATTCGTTCAGTTTAATAGTACTTGTTGTATTTGGGGTATAATGCAAGGATATGTCAAGGGTCCACTACATTTTTTTGGAATATAAAATTGTCACTAATGCAGCTTTCCATCGTAAGCCAGGAAACTACTGGAGCGTCGGTTTATTACCTTTCCTAGTAAAGTCCTGCCTCGCTATTTTTCTTTTTGTTTCCTATCAATACGACAGATGTAGAATTGAACATTCACTAAATTTAAAAATTTTTTTTGATTTGTACTCTGTAAAAATCCACCGTGATGGCCACAATATTAGTAAATCACCAACTTTACATCTGTGATTTTATGTGGCGGCCAGTGAAATATGGAGATTCATCAAATCGGTCTTTCGACACGGTGTTACTATTTATTTTTTTCGCGTATGCGGAGATCATAAATTATTCGAAAATATCTTAGTTTTACGTCAAAATTCTAGAAATTTTGTTCTCACTGAATTCAGCCTAAACAAAACAAATAGTTATTGCTTGATTTTTGATAGATTTTGACAGAGAGAGTCATTAAAAATGCTCTGCAAAGAATGTTATACAAGATCGGCAGAAAATCATTGATGTTACGTATTTGTTGTGTAGGAGCAAGATAAAGGGAGAAACTCGTCTGTTAGAGCGAGCGCAGGAATGACGCGTCCACAGACTCGCCCTTGGTGTTGAGCACGCTTCATTCGCGTTTTCGCTCCAACAGACGTATTTTTCTCTACATCTTGCTTATACACGTTGAATACGGGACATCAGGGATTCTTTGTCGATTCTGTATGAGATATAGCTCCTCAATATAGATTTTAGTTGAGTACAATGGTTCAATTTCATGAGAGCGTCAAGCGTCGAGTGATTGCCTACAAAATTGATACTATGAATGCGCCGACAACGGACAGTGACAGTAGAAAAAAGCCGTCTAAAATGTGGAAGCGAATTCAAACTCTTTGCGTACAATCAAATGATGTCCTGAAAACCTGTGTTGTGTGAGCTGGAAATACAAAAATATATTTTTTGTCATAAATGGCGTTGCGTGACGCAAAGGCCCTTGATCCACCGCTGATCTTGCAATGGTTTTTCCTGCGACCGATTTTGTCCTTGAATCTACCGAATTTCAAAGTCACTATCTACCGATTTCATCTTTTTCGGTTCGGCAACACTGCTTGAAGAGCGCTTTGCCAAGTAGAGGTAAACGTGTACGCACGTTGAGGAGAAGCCACGCGAAGCGAACCGCGGCGAGACGTTGGTTCAAGAATTTGGTAGTTTCACCTGGAACTTCTGGGAGAAATCGGTATTTCTATGTATGTCTCTTTGCCGCTTGTGAGATCATATTGGAAAACTGAAGTGAACCAAATCATTGGGACTGTTTATCCTACGTAAAGCGCTCCAGCGATCCAGCTGCTGGATACCAGTAGCTTTGAGATTTCTCAACATTAATCAACATACTATCAAATCTGACAGCCAAGAGAACTGCTGTTAAACTGAGAAAGTAATCCGATGGTTGAATGAATGAAAACATGAAATTAGAGTCATAAGGAGCCAGCGCATAGGCCACTCAGACGTGCCCTTGTGCACCTCCACATTTCTTAGACCTCAAGCCTCGCCATTCTAGCGAAGTTGAGTATGGCCTTGAGCCCAAACTCCTTAATGTCGAAAGTGATGGACCTCATTATAGTCTGCCTGTAGTAGCTAAGAGCCTCGCAGCGACACAGAACGTGCGCCGAGGTTTCTTCTACCCCGCAGCGCTCACACAAGGGATCCTCAGCCACCCCTATCACGTGCAGGGGGCGCCTTAATGTGTTATGGCCAGACAACAGACCCACCAGCAACCTTAGGGTGACTCTATCCAAAGATAAGCAGAAACGCTCGTCCTTAGCATTGGGCCCTGAGATGAGTTCCCGTGCCTGACGTAGATGTGTCGAGATACTTCTACATTTCTGAGAGTGTTGCCTTGCAATCCACTTCTCCGTTTTCCTCCCAACTCTTAGCATGGCACCCCTAAAGCTGGCTCAGGACCAACAAGCTTGCTGGCTGATCCTGTCTTCGCCAGAGCGTTCGCCGTCTCATTGCCCTTTATCCCAGCGTGCCCCGGTACCCACACTAACGATACCGGATGCCTCGCTGCTAGACAATCCAGAGCTTCCCTGCATTGCAACACAAGGCTCGAAGTAATCTTACAGGCACTTAGTGCCTTCATTGCGGCCTGGCTGTCGGAGAAGATTGTTATCCTTCTCCTAGGCCCACCCCTCTCCAAAATGATGGATACACAAGCCAGAATCGCAACGATTTCCGCTTGAAAAATCGTGGTGTATCCACCAGATAAACTAGTCCTAGGCCCCGAGACTCCGGCGCCAGAGCCCTCTTCGGTGACCGTGCCGTCCGTGTACCAGACTTGCCCACTCACTCCAGTGAGCCTCCGGTAGCCGGTGTCCCATTCCTCCCTCGTTGGATACTCTACATTAAACGGTTGAAGCGATACTTAGGGGTAACTACATCGCCCCTGCTCAGAAGGACAGGATCCTCCCTTTGCAGTACGACCAGGATGGCAGTACGACCCTTGACGGGATTCAAGAAGGCCCAGCTGCCCTGACTCCACAGTCGATGTGCGACTACTGTCGCCTCTCCGCGGATCGCTGAACTGTATTGAATTTTGCCTTATTCGTCTCAGTTCCAATGCAAGGCCACCAAACCAAGGAGCCGTACAAGAGAGATGGACGTACTATTGTCATTGAGAGCCAGTAAAATACGTTGGGTTTGAGCCCCCACCTAACACCAACAACGCGTCTACAAGCCCACAATGAATTGCGAGCCTTGTTAACCTTAAATTCAACGTGCTCTCTCCAGTTCAGTTTACAGTTCAGGATAATTCCTAGATATTTTACTGACTGGGATGGAACTAGTCTAGTCTGTTTATCCTACGTAAAGCGCTGCACCGATCCAGCTGCTGAATACCAGTAGCTTTGAAATTTCGCAACATTAATCAACATACTGACATCCAAGAGAACTGCTGTTAAACTGAGAAAGAAATCTCCGATGGTTACTGTTATTCAGCATAAAACCGGTGCACCGCTGGACCGCTCTACGAGGTCTGTAAATTAAGTCATGGGACTGGCAACGTAGCATTCGAACCGGCAAAACTGGAGGGGCCGGGCGTGGAGGGGGGCAGGGAACATGTGACCCGCCTGGTGGTTTAAGCCATTTTCAGACGGGAGGGAGTCGATTGAAGATGAACCTCAAAGCGGTAGACCTTCATCTTCAATACCCGATTAAAATATCGACAGTATCCGGGATCTTGTGCGTTCACATCGTCGGTTGACGGTCAGAATGATCGGGGAAGAGTTAAATTTGACTCACACTACCGTTTATCAGATCAAGAACAACTGGATGTTTTATCACGATAATGCTCCTTGTCACACAGCCAATAAAAACATTCTTATACGCCGGTCTTGAGTCCTTGTGACTTTTTTCCCGAAGTTAACCAATCACAAGGCAACTTATTTTGGGACAGTCGACAACATTCAAATCACTGCAACCGACCAGCTGAAGGCTATTCCAGTATCGGATTTACAGCACTGCTTTGAGGAGTGGAAGAACCGTCTCCAGCGCTGAGTGGCTTTAGAAGGAACTTATTTTGACGTTGACAGTATACAATTGTAATTATATTTGTATAAGAAAATTAAAAAAAATCGGTCTCATCACTTAATTTACGGACCTCGTACATTGACTGAACACTCCCATTCAATTAATGAACGATTTCCCGTACAGTCATATGCAGTGCTTCCAAAAGTGTGGATTCGTCAAAATATCTGGAAAATATGTTTGCTAGAACATAGTTGTAAGGTTTGAAAAGGGCCATTTAATGGTGACCTTTAAAGTGGCCTTGACTATTACCTTTAAGGTCATTTGAAGGTCAAGACAGTTTTCTTAAATGGAAATCCCTAATTTTCACACCGGGAATGTAAAGTGTAGGAAACTTGAAGTTCGAAAACTACGTTTCATAAAGAAAAATGTTACAGAGCAATTAGGGTTTGAAAAGGTAGTTATATTAAATGGAAAACCTGTGTGTTTGCCAACGGAAAGATAAAGAACAGAAAACCGTGTAAAAAGTATGTCCATAACCTTGACTGTGACCATCAAGGTTATTTGAAGATGAAATACATTTTAAACGGGAAACATTTATTTTTAATTCCTGAAATGCAAATTGCGGACAATGTTACATTCAAGTATGACAATGAACCTGACCATGACCTCTAATGTCAACGTTTTTCTTCAGGAAACGTATTTTTGAGATATTTTTATGTAATCATGCTTATAGCAATACAGAAATGTTAAATTATAGGGGCTTTTCTCTAGTTTAACATAGCTATTTTCATCGTATAGTGCGTCAGAAAGGAGTTATTGTGGAAAATCTGTTTTTGGGTGTATTTTTTTTAATACGCCGGCTCAAGTAGTAATCATAAAAAATTGAGAAAAATTACATCGAAATCTTTTAAAATATCAGCTTTTTACAACGTACCCAATAATTTCCAGTCAACCCCCTTTTTTGAGCACCAAATGATTATGATTACACTATGCTTTGTCAGAGTAATGATCTACAAAAAATTAATTTTCTACTTTTAAAACGCGCCGTTACTGCCACAAACGTTACGTTCAATATCGATACTTCGTATGACGATGCACGACAGTTCAAGCAGGACGTTCAAAATTCTGGGGTTTCTCTGCATTTTATGCAAACTACTCATCAGCAGTGGGATATTTTTTCCCCCAGTTCAAGTTTCAACTTCGTCCGTATTCCTTTTTGATATGAGTTTTATGGTTGTGCTAATGTACGTATTCGTGATAGTGTTGAGAATCAACTATAACGCTGGTGTACCCTGCCGAGTGACCTTGAAGAGATTTGAAGTCTTGTGGCCAGCCGGTTACGGGAGGTGCTGCTGCCGGCGACTGTACCTGCAACAAATATGGAGCGGTTATAATTTATCCGAATCAAATTTTAGATGAAAAAAACGAATTATATCACACCCTGAGATATAATTGAAATTTCTTAATTGCCGATTTTTCTATATTTAACTTTCACGTTGTGTGCATCCTCTTTCCCATCACTCCCACTACCTTTGCGTTGTGCTGCCGTAATACAAAAATACAAACTAGGCAAAAAATGTCTACGTTATGAAATGAGCATCTACGCTCAACAGTAACTTGATAAATACAAAAACTGCGGCTTAGCTCACTTAATTTTATGAGCATCCTATGCGTTCGAAAACTTGAGCGTATCACAAACAAAATTTCGGATGTCTTTCATTATTGTTGGTTAATAATTTACACTTGTAAGATATTTATCTGCTATGATCCGACACAATATTTCTGAAATTTCATCAAAGTAATATAAATTAAAATTATAAACTACCATACTACCTTGGTTTCCTGTTTGCAGGCTTACATGGTCTATGGCGTGCGAAAAACTGTTTCATCGCATTAAAAATACACAAAGTAAAAAAGTATTTATTGTTCAAAATTTAAAAAAAAATAATAGAGAAAAAAGGAGCTTTGTGGATTCGAACCTCCGTCCTGCGGTTCTGCAATCGTCAACCCTTCCCATTACGCTACGACGCCTCTTGGTTTACTGGATCCTTATACCACACAGATGTCAAGCGAATGTTGGAGGAATATCAAATCTGTTATAAACAATTACAATACTCGAAAACTATACAAGATACAATGCTGAATCTTTAAGTAATGTATTAGGGACTAATACCGAGTATTTTGCTTAATTTTTAAGATGGGCAGCTCGCTATAATTGGTTGATATTTGTCTACTGTTTTTTTGTTTTCTCGAGTTTGTTTTCCAACATTTTGAGCTCGCAGTCGTTTTAATCGAACGAGATTTCAAAAACAGACTATATTGATACTTTTAGAAAAAAGTCTAGGGAATTATATTTCTTCGTAAAGAAACTGGATTACGTGACCTACTTATTTAACAGAGTCATGCAGTCATCAATAATGCAGCCATTTAGCTCATGCTACATACTAACTAGTCTAAGACAGTTTGAAACATAATATTGTGTCTTCAGTTTGCGTGGTAACTTTATAAACAGTTCAGCGCATTTCAGTATGGAATATTTTTTTTATAAACTTTAAGGCTCATCTGTGGCCGTATAAAAATTTCAGCTCTAAATATATGTATACACAAGAGTATGAAGAAATTTTGAAAAAAAAATGGTTTTCTTCGTAACAAAAGGTGATAGACAAATCCGCTTTGTTTTAAAATGTGTATAATAAAGTATGTTTTTCGAATGTCGTAGCAACTCTTTCAGTTACTCACATATACGAAATGTTTAGAAGAAAAAAGTAAACGCTTCGTTTTTCGAATAAAAATAATAATTACCTTTCGGAATGGTTTGTGATTTACGTCGGCAATTCAAATTCGTATATTTTGCTATGAAATGCCCTTTGAACGAATCCTGTATAATGCTCAATACCTGACCAATCGGCTCGAATATTGTTGTGGCCATTTAGAAGTATGAAGCCTACGGATTTGAAGAATTTCAAGTAGCTGCGTGAAATTATCGTCGCATTAGCAACAAGTGCCAAGACCTGAATTTTGCCTTGGTTTTTGACCATACCTTTTTTACTATTAGTGGTATATTTTTACGTGGTTTTAATTTATCCCAATCAAATTTTAGATGCAAAAAATGAATTATATCACACTCTGAGATATAATTGAAATTTCTTAATTGCCGATTTTTGTATTTTTAACTTTCACGTTGTGTGCATCCTCTTTCCCATCACTCCCGAAAAGGAAGATTACCTTTGCGTTATGCTGCCGTAATACAAAAATACAAACTAGGCAAAAAATGTCTATGTTATGAAATGAGCATCTACGCTCAACAGCAACTTGATAAATACAAAAACTGCGGGTCAGCTCACTTAATTTTATAAGCATCATATGCGTTCGAAAACTTGAGCGTATCACAAACAAAATTACGGATGTCTTTCATTATTGTTGGTTAATAATTTACACTTGTAAGATATTTATCTGCTATGATCCGACACAATATTTCTGAAATTTTATCAAAGTAATATAAATTAAAATTATAAACTACCATACTACCCTGGTTTCCTGTTTGCAGGCTTACATGGTCTATGGCGTGCGAAAAACTGTTTCATCGCATTAAAAATACACATAAAGTAAAAAAGTATTTATTGTTCAAAATTTAAAAAAAATAATAGAGAAAAAAGGAGCTTTGTGGATTGTGGAACCCTTCCCATTACGCTACGACGCCTCTTGGATTACTGGATCCTTATACCGCACAAATATCAAGCGAACGTTGGAGGCATATCAAATCTGTTATAAACAATTAGAATACTCGAAAACTATAGAAGATACAATGCTGAATCTTTAAATAATGTTTTAGGGACTGATCCCGAGTATTTTGCTTAATTTTTATGATGGTCAGCTCGCTATAATTGGTTGATATTTGTCTACTGTTTTTTCGTTTTCTCGAGTTTGTTTTCCAAAATTTTGAACAGTCGTTTTAATCGAACGAGATTTCAAAAACAGACTATATTGATACTTTTAGAAAAAAGTCTAGGGAATTATATTTCTTCGTAAAGAAACTGGATTACGTGACCTACTTATTTGACAGAGTCATGCAGTCATCAATAATGCAGCCATTTAGCTCATGCTACATACTAACTAGTCTAAGACAGTTTGAAACATAATATTGTGTCTTCAGTTTGCGTGGTAACTTTATAAACAGTTCAGCGCATTTCAGTATGGAATATTTTTTTATAAACTTTAAGGCTCATCTGTGGCCGTATAAAAATTTCAGCTCTAAATATATGTATACACAAGAGTATGAAGAAATTTTGAAAAAAAAAATGGTTTTCTTCGTAACAAAAGGTGATAGACAAATCCGCTTTGTTTTAAAATGTGTATAATAAAGTATGTTTTTCGAATGTCGTGGCAACTCTTTCAGTTACTCACATATACGAAATGTTTAGAAGAAAAAAGTAAACGCTTCGTTTTTCGAATAAAAATAATAATTACCTTTCGGAATGGTTTGTGATTTACGTCGGCAATTCAAATTCGTATATTTTGCTATGAAATGCCCTTTGAACGAATCCTGTATAATGCTCAGTACCTGACCAATCGGCTCGAATTTTGTTGTGGCCATTTAGAAGTATGAAGCCTACGGATTTGAAGAATTTCAAGTAGCTGCGTGAAATTATCGTCGCATTAGCAACAAGTGCCAATACCTGAATTTTGCCTTGGTTTTTGACCATACCTTTTTTACTATTAGTGGTATATTTTTACGTGTGGTCTCATTCTGCAGGTCACATAAATACCTAAAAATCTTATTTGAAGATTTTTTCGTTCCTGCAAAAAAACGGGTTTTCTCATTCTTTGTTGTCGAATAAATAGTTTTCCCACAAAAACTGGTGTACCTATTTTATGCGTCCATGTTTTAAATACCCCCTTGAACAACTTGCATCAATAAAACCAGACTTTACAATTATTTCGCAAACCAGGGGTATTTTTCTTCAATATAATTAGACTACTATTTGATTTTCCAGCGATTTGGAGTACAGGTTATTGATGTCTGGTCAGGTGCACAAGCGGTAAAAACTCGGTATTTCCTGAATTACAATATGAGGTATAATTAAAGTATGTCCTTTTTCAGATATCAGGCGACACTAATGACCTCAATCGATTATGAAAAGCGTAAAAATAAAATTCCAACTAAACTATCTTGAATTTTTCTTTTTATCCAGTAGTACTTAAAAATTGATTTTTTATGCACTTATACCAATATTATCTTTGAAATTTTCGGTGGAATTAAAAAAAGTGAACTAATTTGACCAGACAGCCTTGGGTAGGAGCGCAGACGAATGAAACCAAGATCATGGAGATCGGTGCATCCAAACAGAAGTTATAATACTTTTTCAGAAATGACATTCAAGTCTTCTTATAATAGAGTTATCAAATCAGTACGTTAATTACGCATTTTTGCAAAATAATGGCGTTTGAATTTTTGATATTGAAAATACGCTGCCTAGCGGAAATTTTAAGAATCTGAAAATAATTTACAGCAATTTCCTTTTGTCACTTTTGTAAGGATTTTTTAACGGATGGCTCTGGATTAAGCTGTTGCTGAGATATATATATATATATATATATATATATATCCATCCTTGAATTTCTTTGGGTAGAAGGCAAAGTATTGCAAAAGTACACTCTTATAATTTAAACTCGAGCTTTCGAAGATCTATGTCTTCATCGTTTGGAGTAAGTCGACGAGATTCTGCTGAAATTGTTTTTAAACAATAGTGAAGGGAACACATAGTGGACGATAAAAAACTGGACTGATGAGGTTCGATTAGGACGGAATAATTTTTCACTGTTGTTTAAATCCAATTTCAGCCGACTTACTCCACACGATGAAGACATAGATCTTCGAAAGCTCGAGTTTAACTTATAAGAGTACTTTTGCAGTACTTTGCCTTCTACCCAAAGAAATTCAACGACATTTTCTCCTAACAGTTAAGGCAATTAACTATGAATACTATATATTTATGTACTCGTATATATACAGGGTGACTTTGAAGTTGAGTCATTAATTTTCAGATAATGATTGTAGAAGGAAGATAAACCAAAATATGTGTAAAAATAAAAAAATAAATAAAAAAAATGTTACCTTGTTTAATAAAGTATCGTCCCGACAAGTATTTCAGTGCGGACCTGTATTTGATCGTGCGGTCTTGGAGCAGCATGCCAAGACCTGTGAGGTCTTAAGTCACCTGATTCACGAGCCCTTTGTACTACATTAACAAAGGCACGAGGGGTTGGTTGCACTCGATTGGGAAACCGATTCGCATAAATCCGTGATGCATCCGGGAGCATTTTGTAAAGACTGCCCCCCCGTAAATAAGAATCATGTCCACAAGTTTAGCATTTTCGTAAACATGTGCCATTTTTGATTTCGTTTGAGCCACGCAACAAACACTACAACGCAACAATAACGCGTTATCGACTGACGAAAAACATCGTGATAAACGTTTCAAATTCTTTCGCTTTTTTGTTTCCGATGCGATGAACCGGTCAGGCGGATTATATCCGTTGTCGCCAAACACGAACATATTATTATTGAGACAGGGCGGTACTCAAACTTCCAAAGGGCTATAACTTTGTTACTTTAATTTTACCAGAAAAATGGTAAAGGAAAAAAACATTTATTTTGATCAGATCTACTCACTGTTAAAATAAATGACTCAACTTCGAAGTCACCCTGTATATATATATTCTCTCTCTCTATATATATATACATATATATAACTTGAGACGTGGTCATTGTCGTCTAGACCAGTTAGGTGAAAATTAAAGCTTCCGCCTTTTGTTGGGTACTTCCCTACTCCTTAACGCAAATAACATTTAGCAACATCCTCACATACTACTGTAAGTTAATGTAAATTCATTTTACACAATTGTTGCTACTTTTATCAATGCTATTGCAGCTCCTGATGATGATGGCAAAGACCATTGAAAGCTAGAGAGATTAAAAAATTATAAAGAGTCCTCCTTGCCTAAATTTTGTCGAAGCACCCAACAAAAGCGCATACAGCGATGTTCCGTGCTTTTTAGCAATCATCAGTACGGGAAAGGTCTTAACCTTAAAGACAGACAAACTGAAAGCAAACAAGCAGGTATGGTCTTTCGGAAGACTCAGTTTGTTGTGCGCAAAGAGTTGACAAACCTGTGTAACATTATGGATTATGACATACCTGCGTGGTGGGTTGATGGTGTGTATGATGGTGATTGTTGTTGAAGCAAGCTGCACCAAATGCAGAATGGGCGTCTATGAATGGTGCCGTAGTATTGGAAGAGTGCAAGTGTCCGTGTTCACTTTCCGTGGAGCAGTTAGAGCTAGATGAAGCGCTGTAAGGCCTCTGTTGAGGCGTCATGGCTGGTTGTACCAGGTGTTGCTGGCTCAGCTCCGAGTCCGAGTACGTATAGAAAATGTCTTGGTGCTGGAAAGATACAATTAAATTAGTCATTTTAAAACCAATTTTCCAACATTCTTTTTTACTGAAAATGCTTCGTTAGATAGAAGCGTATTCTGTGTATACCTTGCAAGTCAATGCATTTCTTTTACTAATAATACCGCGTTATCGACGTTTATTGCATAAACAACATAAGTCCCGAGACTTATGTGGTGGTTGAATGCACTAACACTCGATGGCAGATACTTGAATTGGTCGTTTCAGAAACGGTACCAGGATCCTTGATTTGATTTATTTTCATATATACATGTGCTATATGTACCAAAATATCAATTTTAAATTCCCAAACTTTTTTTACACCGAGGCAGCAGGCAGAAGCCTAAATGCCAGGACACCGGGGCTGATATTTCCACATTCTCGACACCCTAGGGACAAAGGAGCGGTCGTATCGGTCAGTTCTGGATGTATGAAGCTCGACACGGTTAGGATGGGAGGACGAAGTCAGGAGGGTCTGTCTGGTAGGCACATCGCGCGGCGGCATCATGGAGGAGCGCTCTGAGGAGCGAACCCCCTGGGTGTAGCGGTAGACGAGAGCTAGATCGCCGACGGCCCACTGGTGCGAAAGGGTCCCGAAACTGTCTGTTAGAGAAGAGTCATCGATCTGTCGGACAGCCCTCGTCTGGACAGCATCGACCATGAATAATGCAGTTGGGGCGGCAGCACCCCAAACGTGTGAGCAATACTCGAGGCTGATTACAGCATCCACTTTGCCTTATCGTTTTTGCCAGAAATAACTTATTTAACAGTTTTCTTCTTTGTTTCCTACCAACACCATTGACTCAATACTCCTCGTTTGTATGTATACTAAGTGACATATAAATCCGAACACCCAGTTTAAATGGTTTTATTTTAATAAAATTTTGTATAAGTACTTAATGAAGCATAATAAGTAAATGACAAAAATTTCAAAATGATTGCACTGCTTTAAAGCCCTTTGACCTTTAATAATGTATGGATGCACCCTGATGTGCTACGCATTCCCCAACGCGCCTAGGCATGCTTCTGATCAGGTGGTCAATGTCCTCCTGTGGTATCTCATTCCAGGCAACCACCAACTCCTCTCGAAGTGCTTCTAGAGTCTGAGGAGGACGTTGCAAATTGAGCAATCTCCTACCCATCATATCCCACACGTGCTCAATTGGGGATAAGTCGGGAGATCTTGGTGGCCATGGTAACAATGTGACATCATTATGTTGAAAGAAGTCTATTGTGACTCTTGCAACATGTGGTCGGGCATTATCTTGTTGGAAAGTTGGATCTGGATAGGGTAAAAGATGGGGTTCTAGAACTACGTGGATATAACGCTGCGCGTTCATGTTACGTCTGATGAAGATTAAAGGTGACCTGGAACCATAAGCTATAGCACCCCAAACCATAACTCCAACAGTGGGATGAACATGTCTTTCAACAAAAAACTGTGGATTCCTCCTTTCACCACGTCGCCTTCTAACCCTGGCACGACCATCGTGCATGCCTAAACAAAATCGAGACTCGTCACTAAAGACAATACTGTTCCATTCCTGATCCCAGAGTGACCGTTGTCTGCACCACTCAAGGCGATTACGTCGGTGTCCTCGAGTTAAAGGGAGGACCCAGTGTGGCCGGTATGAAAACAAGCCAAAACTTCTCATTCGTCGGTAAACACTTCGCATGCCAATAGGTCTTCCGTGTTCTGCAAACCATTCATTTGCAATGGACCTGATAGTGGAGAGACGGTCCCTTAAAGCCAATAATCTTAGGCGGCGATCTTCACGGTCTGTTGTTCTACGGCGGCGTCCAGTGCCCCTTGCTCTTTGCATACGGCCTTCTCGAAGCCATGCCTGACAACAATTAACCACAGTGTCTACACTTCTTTGCACTCTAACAGCAATTGCCCGAAAAGAAAGTCCAGCTTCCCGAAGTCCCACTATACGGCCCCTATCAAACTCACTAAGTTGACGAAATCGTACAGGTCTCCGTACTCTAGGCATCGTAACCGATCGTAAAGGATGTCAAGAACCAAAATCTGCCAACGTTGATTCTTTACTGCGGGTGAAATATTCATTTTTAGAGCGTTAGTGAATTAAAAAAAGCAGTATAAAAACCGGAATGTCCAACTGATAAGGCTGAAAATTTTTTCACTTGGTATTTACAGTAAGATAAATACATTCACCAACTTTTATTAAAATAAAACCATTTAATCTGGGTGTTCGGATTTATATGTCACTTAGTATATAAGAAAGTCTTTTAAATTTGCTAAATATTTTAACCATCTAGATTACAACTATAACAACTGAAAGAAGTTTCAGCTATGGATGGTTTAATGAAAAAAAAAATGGAAAAAAATAGTGACAAGTAAGTTGACTCGGTACTTCTCAGTCATTCACTTATGGCTATTTTCAAATCTTCTATGAGTCAAGATAAGCCTTGCTAAAGAAATAAAATGTTTGAGCTCAATGTCTCTGAATATGCCCTAATCTGAAGCAAACAGAAAGATGAAAGCAAATTATCGAATTTTTTAGAAATTTCAGCCTGTTCACAAAGATATTTGAGTACCCTTAAAATTGTTCAGAAAGTTGTGAAGCATACAAAAACAAACTTTCGGACGATCCAAAAGCTATTTTAATTTGTACGCATAACACCGCCGCCATTTAAACGATCTTCAAAATTAAGAAGCATTACCTACTATGACCACCACATGAATTTACGTGTTGTAGAACATCGCAAAACAAAAAACATTTATCTGAATTTCTAAAATTTTCGCGTTCGCAGTACGACTGCCCCGCCCCAACCCCGAAAAACTCTGCTACCCCTCGCTTTTCAAAAAGGTTTGAGGCTAGGTACTAGAGACATTTATCTCTTGCCGATGATCCACTCTTTTTGACTTTCAAAGCTTTCTGTGGGCGTCCACGGTCAATACGTGACAGTTCATATTATTCAATGCAAACGTTTATATTTAGTTTGTAAAAATCTATACTTCAAATTTACCCTATATTTGAAATTCGTCACAGTTGGGTGGGGCCTCCCATAAAATTTTGATATAGGGCCGCTGAGGAGCAAGCTACACAACTGCTTCGCTTGTAACAACGGGAGATGAAAATGGAAATTTTGTCTTGCAAAACAGTTAAATCAACTCTGTCTGAGAAATATTATCCATCTATCCATTGTCTAGAACAGCGAAGATCAATTGAATTGATCTATACATGACTCATACATTCTATAAATAATAAAAGCATTCGAACATTTTTGAAGCATACACTTGAGTAATTTTTTACCTGACTATGATAGTACGTTTGGTCATCGTACGCCGCATGTATCGCAGTGAAAAATGGATAATCCGGATGCGGATGTGATAATCCGCTACTCGCTCCTGTCGCCACGCCATTAGAATCCCCGCCACTGGTAAAGTCGGCGGTGCTGTCATCGGCGTGCGGCGAAATAAGCGATGCGGCTGATAGGCTGGAGGGGGTGAGGGGCAGGATCGGTTCGTATTTACGCCTCTTTGGAGGCGGAGTCAGAGGGGATAGTGGACGGGCGTCGTCACCCCTAGACGTGCCTTGCGATTGGTTCAAGATGAGCTCTTTGGCTTCTAGGTCGCTGAAAAAGGAGAATGCAAATCGTGAAGCATTTATGGGTGCCCTTGAAGTTGGGATTTTCCTTCACAGGTCTTGTAAACACAAAAAAAAATCCTGGTAACACAAGCACACCAACCAGCGTTATTAAAAAAAATCTGTTATTTCAAATCCGGATTAGCCCTTAGCATGAACACATATGAAATGAAATGTTGAACGTAGCTGTTTGTTTATAAACCGGACTTGAAAGAACCGAAGATGATATAGTATTGCTACAGCCATAACGAACTTTCGATTTAATTTTTGTATCCAGAGAATGGCTTCCATATTTTGCTGACGCATTGCAAGTGTGTTCCGATCGTTTTCCTGAACGTTTCCTTCTCATGTGGCGTATATTTATTTATCTTGTACAAAGACAATTTGTAGGAACGGTAGATATTTGTAATTCGTTAAATAAACATATTTTTTTCTTTTCATTTTGAGTTCCTGTTAAGGCTTAAGGGTATTTCCCGAAGTTATCTGAACCAATGGATCAACTATGACTTAAATGAGGAGATAAACTATGAATGACAAAAAGTATTATTAAATAATCCCCCTAAGTTGGGACTTTCCTTTACGGCGTATTCTTCGGGTATCGGCAGTCTTTCCTATAATTGTACGACGCTTTTATGGCCTCCTTGATTTTCATAGTTTTCTACTGTTCCGTGACTGCGCTCTATTTAGAGGTTATGTTAAAAACATCTATTTGCATCACATTGGTCATGCTTTTGATTTATATCATCTGTTATATCAGCCTGAAATTTCTTACAATTCAAAAAGAAAACCTCACAAAAGGATAGCGCTGACGCTGATATCTAGAAATGCCCCAGCCTTTTTGAAGGAGAGAAAAGACTAAGGGAATTAAGGGAACGACTTACGGTAGGGCTCTTAGAAGAATGATTAGGTTTATATATACAAAAAAGTCTTGAGATTCCCGAGGTGTTATGCTCCGCAAAATCAATCAAACCTAAACGAAACTGGATTAGTACCCAGTCCAGGCGCTGGCTGCGTTTGTAAAGAAAACCTTTACACATCGGTTCTAAAAACATTGCGCACTTTTACAGTAATATCGGAATTGTCCATATTATTTTAATTTACGGTGAGTGTCTGCAAAAGGCTACCGAGGCTTCGCGAGTCCTTACACAGATGCTGCGTGATTTCTTTTTTTTTTTTGAAGCGAAATGAAATGTGTGTATAAAACCGAGGTGAAGCCGGTCGACAAACTACGTGACCATATTTAACAATCTGATACTTTTTCTTTTATTTTTTCAGTGTTTCGCTGTTGTTTCACCGCACATATTTGGCATTACAAATGTAGTTGTTTCAGAAAAGGAAAGCCCGAACTTTAGGACACGCTGTATTGACCCTTAGTCTGATGCCTACCAAGTACCAACACAAATACAAAGGATGTTATTACTGCTAATAGCTAAATATTTTTTTGGACTTGATTAGAATCTTACCTTAAAACATAATTAACAGATACTATACAGTGTGGCCTGGACGACCTAGAGTTGTGTACGATTGTGGCGTAACTTTGCATCCACACCCACCCTCCACCCTTACATAAAAAGCGGTAATATTTCGTCGTTACTTGTCCTTTGAATAACACTGAAACAAAAAAAGATTGAGGTACAGTAAGACTGCCGTCAAGTACCAAATTGGAGGAGAATATATCGTGACGCATCGTGCGCCACTGGCTGTCGCTATGGATCGTGAACCGTGACCTCCATGCACAAGTAGCACGTTAGCAGTGGCTTACCATGAGTTATGCTACTCTCTTGCAATTTGGTACTTGGCTACTAGTTCAAGTTGTTTTTACTTCACTCAAATAAACGGCTCACATATGGTACATACATATGTGATATGGATGATTATATGGAAGGAAACTATTCATTCCTATATGATGAATGGGGGAAAATAATATGAAATTAATGACTATGGACCAGAAACTTACGTTGAGTGTGAGAATATCTTAAAGCTAAAAGATCACTTCCATGAACATAGTGGTAGAGCGTCTTCTCGATGAGATCCTGAGGTTCATATCCTGTAAGATGGGCCACTCTGTAACAAAAAATACACATTGTTAGTCGTTAAAGTTGGGACTTTCTATTTACATAAGTAAGTTTTGCTTTATCAAAGCCTTAAAATAACCGATATATCACATTTCCAAAAATTCTAAATAAACCATTCCGACCCTGCCTCCCATCCCCCTCCTACGCCAAAGAGTATGATGTTTTGTGGTACTTTGAATATGTGAATCAGTCTCCAAATCAGGCGTCGCGCGGTGTGTAGGTTAACCTAGTTCATAAACAAACCGTACTTGAAAAATTGGCACACTCGTACAGTCATAATGTAATTATCGATTTGATCTTTGTTTTCTGTGAGCGTCTTTAAGATCCTATTGATACTCGGTATTTGAACGTCGCCATTGTCCTCGATATTTCCACCAGAGCTATGAATGTTCGTTTGTATCGTGCGAAAGCCGTGTGGGAGAACAGTCCCAAAAGTTTCAAATTTAGGAAGAAGTAAACAAACTCTTGTCAAGAAGACATTACAAACAAAACAGGGAAGTACCTGAGATGCCATACCGATTGAATATTGAGTATTTTTATTCAATTTCTTTTTTACGTTTTCGGTGCTGTTTTACAGCAAATTAACTTTTCAAATGTAGCTGTTTCCGAAAAGGAAAGTCCCAGGAAACTTTCAGGACTTTCATCAAGGGCAATTTATAGTTGTTAAGATTTTTCAAGAAGCTTTACTCTGAAAATGAGCTACAAGGAGAAGACATCACTTTTTATAACATGCTAGCATCAAAAAATTGAGATACACCCTTCTAACCTCCTTACTACCCCAACCCTCAGGCTTTTTTACCTTTATTTTTTTTTTCGAAAATGATCTAGGTATCTTTTTATGTTTTCACTTCTAGCTCCGCCGCCACTAGACCGAGTTTCAAAAACCACAGAGTTTTTCATTCTGGGAGTAGTATTAAACTTTTGTGAAAATTTCATCAAAATCCGAGCTGTACTTCTCAAGTTATAGGCGGTTATAAGATCGACAGACAGACGGACAGACCGACGGAAATCAGTGACAGGTTTTTCGTGATTCAAATAACATAATTTCTGATTTTCGAAAGGAAGAAGAACCGTGGTTGAGAGTACCTGGATATTTGCATCTAAGATAAGTAGATGTTAAATTGGTCTCTGATAATTTCTGGCGAAAATTCAGCTCTTTTACATACCGCATCAAAACCAGGCGATGAATAGACCCTCGAAAAGCATAAAGAATGTAACACTAGCCGATGGCATGATGGATCCTTTCCCCCCATCTAATTTGTACTCCATCAAAGTGTCAGATAACAGAGTAGGCGACTGGAGTGTATAACATGCCGGTAGTAGTGTTTGAACGAGCCAGTTTAAAAAAGATTTAAGACAATGGCCATTCGATACGGTGCCGATGGTTTTTTGTTACTCCTTTGAGAACCAGTGCACGTGTGGTTAAAAATAGAAGCGAGAACGGTAGAGAGCTGCTGCCGGAACATTGACTCTTGTCACATGAATGTCGATGTAAGGGTTATTGGCTAATAAATCACGTGACTGTACAGGGTTAATGGTCTCGGAATTTCTTCCAAACGTATGTTATATAATCAGTTTTTAGATTTTTACCCCAAAATCGCCCGAAAATTGGCATTTTAGTCGAAATAATAAAAATGGCGTCAAGTAGGTTAATTCTGCACTTCCCATGCTGACATCAGTTCATAAATGATAACGTCGCCTCTCCCCGATATCAGATTGCACTACGCGCCCGACGCGACTTCGTAGCACAACGGCAGTCATGCCAGGACATTTACAAAGACCGCCACGCCCGCCGGTAAAGCCAGCGAGCATACGCAGGTACGCGTACCGAAAAAATGCCAGATTAAGTTTTACGGTCAAATGAATGATGTGTGAAATATGCCTAATAGGTTCGTAGAATGACTAGGGTTGCAAATATATTAATATACTGTAACATAAACACGGTTTTTACTGTCCAAAGTATAATTTATTACCCTACTCTAGTTTATAACACTTGTAACTGATTTATGAACGATTTATAACCAGGCCCACTGGACAATTGAGTTCTGTGATCATCGCCCGCTGTCGACTGCTCGACTGCGTCTGCCTGCTTCCGCCATCTGGCCGGATATTTATGCGGTGAATCAACGGTTCCCGATGACTCCGGCATTTTTTTAGCAAAAAGTCGAACTACAATACTAACATCAACAAATTGTCATACATCCTCCTCTACCCCCCTAAAATCCTCCACCCCCCCTCCAAATTTTGTACACCAAATTTATGAAGATTCAATTAGTCTTCGTGTATACTTAAAGTAAGTTAATACAATCATAATAGGTACAAAAATACAACATATAATAAAAGTAACAGCTATTCCTTTAATCGACTGTTCCGCCTATGATGAGGTAATAAATATTAACGATAATGGTTTGCTTATTTGGATGCATCGAAGGCACCTTCGTTTATGTTATGTCAAGTGGCTAGAGAGATGAAACGGCGAGCGGCCCTGGTAGATGGTGGACATTCTGTACCTCGTCCTAACGTCGAAGACATGGTATACCATGTTCGCCTCTATTATTCGTGTTTAAAATAACTTGAATTTTTCGCGTATTCTTCGGTCTGTAACATTCCGTATAATAAAATAGTTTTTCAGTTTTCCTAGACAAATATGTCAGTATATGTATTTCCAAAAAGGTATTAAACATCAGCAAACTGATTTCAAGTCTAATTACACTCCATCAACTACATGGTATTTGAAATCAGTGCATTAATTTTTCAACAGCCTCTTAGTTGCATTCATTTTCGAGCTCATAGTTCTGTCGCATTTTCTATGAGACCAATGCTCCAGTATAATGATCTCCATGAAACCTGATCGGTATCCGTGTTTCGTATTATCGATGTGTTGATCCTTAGTAACTCCAAATACGTAGAAAATTTGTCGATTTGACTTACACAGTCGGAGAAGCCACTAGCGACTTTTTGGTGCAAGAAAATACAGGAAGTATCGATATCGCGAAAAAGGACCCGGCACAAAACTTATGCATAATGGATCCCAGCCGATTTGTCTAAAAACTCAGTAATTACGTATTTCTTGTCTCTCCGAACAAAAGTGTCCTTGGAACCAAAGGAATCCTATGATTAGTTTCTGAGACATAGGCGGATAAGGAGGTGTCACTTTGATCGTGATGCTTACAAGGTTTCAGGGCAAGTTGATTTTGATATGTTTATGTTGTAACGAGAATTCAGAAAATTCAATAGGACAGGTAACTTTTTAAGGGCACAGTTTGTGTCACTCTTAATGCATTTGGAAATCTACAAAGATTATCGATTGAATGCAAGGAATACGTTTTCCGTAAACAAAATATTTAAATTGCAAAAAATGTTAAATCAGATCCGGGTTACAAAGGATTCCTTTTGTTTACCAATAGTCCGTTCGCCATTCCAAGTCCTTTTTTGTAAACATTGCCAGAAAGTGGCGATGAAAATTACTTTTTAAATCAAGAATTATAAACTTTTCGAGTTGGATACGTACTTGTATTAAATAGAGGATACCTTAAATAATAAATGGAAAATATCTTCACCTCTGGAAGAAAATCAATAACAGCTGTCCACGGAATTAGCCAAGGAATATCGTTTAGTTGGGTAGTTCGAGAGTTAGTAAAAAACTGCATGTAACAAATCTAGGAACCTTTATAAAATATCTTAAGCCCTTTTTGAGGGACGACGGCCAGTCTAGCGTTAGACGAAGTAGAAGGGATCCACAAAAGCGACTTACTCACGTTTTTAAAACCCAGTAAAGTGTCGACTCTGGAGAACATACCAAAAAGTTTATGAAAGAAACGTGGATTTATAGATTAGTAATCTTGCCATGAATAATGGGCATTACTTAGATGTAAATCTGGTGTCCGAACCCTAGGCAAATGTGTTTTTTGACATACTCCAGTATCATGGAGATACTGGAGTTTGGTTATCCTTGACTCAAACCGTTCGATTTGTCGGCAGCACATCAAGACAAGAAAACTCAAATTAATAGTCAATAAAATACAATACCCTGAAGATAAGTTTACAATGATGCACTTTTTCTTTCCCTGCCACCTTCAAAATCAACATGACATTGAAAAGGTCATAATCAAGGACTAGGAAACAACCACGATTTTTGTGTGCCGTTGAAAATCTACCTGGCCATGAAACCGAGCGAAGGATAAAGGTTCCCCCACACCCACGCGATACATCGATAGCGGTAGCGTCAGCGTTAAAAATCGCATTATCGCGATAGCTGCACGTTCACACCACCGCGGTACGGCAGTTTTCTAATGTGCGATATTCTCAAACGTTTTTTCAATTCTTATACGATATGTCTTCTGATGGAGAAGAATTGTTATTATTATTGGCCTTAGTAGAAGATAAAAGGCGAAAAAGGTAAGTATTTTGATGATATCATTAGTTAATAATAATTAATAATTGTGTTTAAGGAAAAATAAGAAATGGTTACATGATATGAATAAACAAAGAAGGATATGTGGAGAATATCATACGTTAATGCCCGAATTACGTAGACATCCACGACGTTTTTACGTATATTTTCGAATGACTTCCGATCGTTTTGATGAAATCTTAAATTTACTGTGATCCCACACTTTAACCTTTTTCCTGCATTGTTTATAGTATTCTTGTCTTAAATCGTACAATATTGGGTGCTTCTTAACTTGTTCAATGAATTTCTCCGTTGTTGACATCCTGAAAAAAGTGGCGATATGTGATACGAGCAGCGTTTCAGAAATTATCGCTATCGCCTTACCGCCTTGATGTGGGAGATCCTTAATGGTTACGATCAGCTTGACACCTCTATTATACAAAAGATGTTTTAACGAAATATTTATTTTAACATTCTGATTCTAAGAGAACTACAATCGGCACATTCACCATTTTGGCGAATCAGGAAAACCTTAAACCTTATCCGCCTATTTCTAAGAAACTAATCATAGGATTGCTTTGGTCTCATGAACACCGATCCCAACAAGAAGCGCCTATTTGCGATGCCGTTGGCCTGTCTGTCCACTAATCATCTACAAATCGGAAAGTACCGCTTGTATATATTTTGATAAGACGTGACATGACACTAGTCTATGCCAAGCACGAACATTTTTGGCACTGTTGAAACGTGACCCAATGACGGAACTACGGATAAAAATAAAAAAGTAAAAATCGCTGAAACCTCGTTTTTCGACGTTTCAGAAAATTTTTGTTCGGGTTGGGGATTGTAGGGATTTGTAAACGTCGAATCCCAATTTGTACTAGTATTTACCTGGCGTCCAAGAAGATCAGTTTCAAGTCTAAGCTGGCCCTGAACATGAACATGTTTGTGTGCAGCTTGATTTCCGTGATGGCGCTGGGAGGCAGTGAATGTCCTACTGCCACCAGTCCCATATGAGGATAGTACGATTCGTACATTCCCGAACCAGCCGGGAATTGTTTCACTTTCAGGTAACCGGAACAGTGGATCACCTGTAACCAAAAGAAACTCACAATCAGAATATTTTCGAGAAAACTGCTCCAGATACCCTTTCAGTTGTTTACTGTTCAATAAGGACGTCAATTGGTTTGTAAAAATACGTCAAGGTGATATTGAGACGAATAGTTCCTCTTCTGGAGATATTTTGTACATGTACTTATGAGATCACAAACGATACCTATAAAAATTTTCGCGGCTCTGCTTATTAGAAGCATCTATTATTGCGTTTTTGAATAATTGCCAGTAAAACTTCTACAAATTAGTAATTATATTTCGTTTAAAAAATAAGTCAAAAGATTATTGTTAAAAAATTCATTTTAAATCTACCACGAGCTTGCATTTGAGTACATAAAGAGGTATGAATAATTATTCATTTTTATTGCTCTTTTTTTTATAAATTTGTATCAAGTGAATGTGACTGAAAAATAAATAATATAACAGCAATTTGCCTATGTGAAGGCGGTGAAAGTATTTTTTGGATTAAACAGTTAACAGTTTAAATGGTTTTATTTTAATAAAATTTTGTATAAGTACTTAATGAAGCATAATAAGTAAATGATAAAAATTTCAAAATGATTGCACTGCTTTAAAGCCCTTTGACCTTTAATAATGTGTGCATGCACCCTGATGCGCTACCCATTCTCCAACGCGCCTAGGCATGCTTCTGATCAGGTGGTCAATGTCCTCCTGTGGTATCTCATTCCAGGCAACCACCAACTCCTCTCGAAGTGCTTCTAGGGTCTGAGGAGGCCGTTGCAAATTGAGCAATCTCCTACCCATCATATCCCACACGTGCTCAATTGGGGATAAGTCGGGAGATCTTGGTGGCCATGGTAACAATGTGACATCATTATGTTGAAAGAAGTCTATTGTGACTCTTGCAACATGTGGTCGGGCATTATCTTGTTGGAAAGTTGGATCTGCCAGGGTGTCAAGATAGGGTAAAAGATGGGGTTCTAGAACTTCGTGGATATAACGCTGCGCGTTCATGTTACCTCTGATGAAGATTAAAGGTGTGCTGGAACCATAAGCTATAGCACCCCAAACCATAACTCCAACAGTGTGATGAACATGTCTTTCAACAAAAAACTGTGGATTCCTCCTTTCACCACGTCGCCTTCTAACCCTGGCAAGACCATCGTGCATGCCTAAACAATATCGAGACTCCTCACTAAAGACAATACTGTTCCATTCCTGATCCCAGAGTGACCGTTGTCTGCACCACTCAAGGCGATTACGTCGGTGTTCTCGAGTTAAAGGGAGGACCCAGAGTGGCCGGTATGAAAACAAGCCAAAACTTCTCATTCGTCGGTAAACACTTCGCATGCCAATTGGTCTTCCGTGTTCTGCAAACCATTTATTTGCAATGGACCTGGTAGTGGAGAAACGGTCCCTTAAGGCCAATAATCTTAGGCGGCGATCTTCACGGTCTGTTTGTTCTACGGCGGCGTCCAGTGCCCCTTGCTCTTTGGGTACGGCCTTCTCGAAGCCATGCCTGACAACACCTAACCACAGTGTCTACACTTCTTTGCACTCTAACTGCAATTGCCCGAAAAGAAAGTCCAGCTTCCCGAAGTCCCACTATACGGCCCCTATCAAACTCACTAAGTTGACGAAATCGTACAGGTCTCCGTACTCTAGGCATCGTAACCGATCGTAAAGGATGTCAAGAACCAAAATCCGCCAACGTTGATTCTTTACTGCGGCTGAAATATTCATTTTTAGAGCGTTAGTGAATTAAAAAAAAGCAGTATAAAAACCGGAATGTCCAACTGATAAGGCTTGCAACATGTGGTCGGGCATTATCTTGTTGGAAAGTTGGATCTGCCAGGGTGTCAAGATAGGGTAAAAGATGGGGTTCTAGAACTTCGTGGATATAACGCTGCGCGTTCATGTTACCTCTGATGAAGATTAAAGGTGAGCTGGAACCATAAGCTATAGCACCCCAAACCATAACTCCAACAGTGTGATGAACATGTCTTTCAACAAAAAACTGTGGATTCCTCCTTTCACCACGTCGCCTTCTAACCCTGGCAAGACCATCGTGCATGCCTAAACAGTATCGAGACTCCTCACTAAAGACAATACTGTTCCATTCCTGATCCCAGAGTGACCGTTGTCTGCACCACTCAAGGCGATTACGTCGGTGTTCTCGAGTTAAAGGGAGGACCCAGTGTGGCCGGTATGAAAACAAGCCAAAACTTCTCATTCGTCGGTAAACACTTCGCATGCCAATTGGTCTTCCGTGTTCTGCAAACCATTCATTTGCAATGGACCTGGTAGTGGAGAAACGGTCCCTTAAGGCCAATAATCTTAGGCGGCGATCTTCACGGTCTGTTTGTTCTACGGCGGCGTCCAGTGCCCCTTGCTCTTTGGGTACGGCCTTCTCGAAGCCATGCCTGACAACACCTAACCACAGTGTCTACACTTCTTTGCACTCTAACTGCAATTGCCCGAAAAGAAAGTCCAGCTTCCCGAAGTCCCACTATACGGCCCCTATCAAACTCACTAAGTTGACGAAATCGTACAGGTCTCCGTACTCTAGGCATCGTAACCGATCGTAAAGGATGTCAAGAACCAAAATCCGCCAACGTTGATTCTTTACTGCGGCTGAAATATTCATTTTTAGAGCGATAGTGAATTAAAAAAAAGCAGTATAAAAACCGGAATGTCCAACTGATAAGGCTGAAAAAGTTTTCACTTGTTATTTACAGTAAGATAAATACAGTCACCAACTGTTATTAAAATAAAACCATTTAAACTGGGTGTTCGGATTTATATGTCACTTAGTATATATTAGGGAAGTTAAACCTACCACGCCACGTTATTTGATGAATGCTTTGTCCTTAATTAATATCGTCAGTGGCATCGAAATTACCGACACCTTTTATCTTGATAACGGTTCTTGGGCGTATATTTATATGAACTTTTTCCTTAGGATCGCCTGACGATTGCAGACAAATAATGGAGCCTCTAAAAAAGCAATATTCTCTTTGCAAAATTGCCGTGCGTTGCTGGCTACTTTATTCCAGCTAGATAATTCAATAAAAATATTGCCTGTTTAGAGGCTCCACAATAGAACAGATTTATTAAAATTAAATTGCAACGTTTTCGAAGATTTTTCGATCTCAACTTTCTGGTTGACGTTCTTCTTTGATTTATCGTCAGCTTCATAGCATACAACTAATTTACTAAGTACACCACTAATTTATTCTGTAAGCTAACTTCAAAGGCATATTTCATTCGTAGCACATGTATACAGACAAGCATCATTCAAAACATTCACAAAGGCAATGATTAGCATTCGTTTGGATGGTGAAATTGCCCGTTAGCAACAATCAAGTGTGTATGTCTTGTATAACTTGCACTCTCGCATATACATGCATGCTGTATATGATTATTACGTGTTTTAGAAGTATGCACATCATGCATATTCGCGCTTCATTACGCGATGCGCAGATGAGTAATTGTGCTCTTCTCGTTGCTGAAAAGTGTCGAGTTTGAGAAAATTTTAATTAATTATTGTTTTCGTTTGCTGTATGTTTCAAAAAATGGAGGCTAAGGATTGTTAAGAATCATTGATAATAAACTAAGTTGTGATTTTTCCGAATTCTTGAGATCGTAATCAGGTAAAAAGTCACTTTTTTTTGTTAATACGATAATACTGCTTAAGGTTAGTAGAACTGGGAAAAGCTTCCTCTTGTAGATTGTTCCACAATCTCGACACCCTCGGGACAAAGGAGCGGTCGTATCGGCCAGTTCTGGATGTACGAAGTTCGACACGGTTAGGATGGGAGGCCAAAGTCAGGCGGGTCTGTTTGGCAGGCACATCGCGCGGCGGCATCATGGAAGAGAGTTCTGAGGATCAAAGCCCGTTGGTGTAGCGGTAGAAAAGCGCGAGATCGTCAACGGCCCGCCGGTGCGAGAGATTCCCGAGACTGTCTGTTAGAGAAGAGTCATCGATCAGTCGGACCGCCCTCCTCTGGACGGCATCGAGCATGGATAATGTAGTCGGGGCGGCAGCACCCCAAACGTGTGAGCAATACTCCAGGCTAGGCCTTATCTGGGCCTTGTATAGAATGAGAAGGTCGTGCGGAGAAAAGTACTTCTTAGCCCTAAACAAATAGCCTAGCTTTTTCCCAGCAGCTGCAGCTATTGACGAGACGTGTTCGTGCCAGATCAGGTCCTCGGTAATCTGGACTACGACCAGCCTGAATGAATGGCTCTTTGGCAGAACTCGGCTATCCATCGAAACCGGATGAGCGCTAGGGCGCTTTTTGTTCGTCAAAGTACAGTACTGTGTTTTGGAAGCATTGATTGTTGCGTCCCCAAGCAGTGATAGCCTCCAGATCTCTTGTCAGAAAGGAAATCGTCGCTAGTTTTCTTTTCTCCATCTCAGCTGCAGAGATCGGCTTGGCACTCTGAATTCCTGCATGTAGAGTGCTGTCATCAGCGAAGCTGTGGATTGGGTTGATCGTGCAGGAAAGGAGGTAGTTTATATGTAAGAGAAACAGTGTCGGAGCCAAGACCGATCCCCCGCGTTGACGTTGTGGGATGAAGAGGCGAACCCATCAATTACGACGGATATCTTGCGGCCAGAGATAAAGTCAGCCACCCATCTGCAAAGCTTTTCTGGGAGGCCATAGGATGGAAGTTTGCTTACGAGGGCAGCGTGCCACAGCCGATCGAACGCTTTCGTGATGTCAAGAGCGACGACATGAGCCTCACCATAAGACTGGATGAGTTTACTCCACAATTGCGTGACGTAAACTAGGAGATCCCCTGTGGATCGTTGGTGCCAGAAACCATACTGCCTGTCACTAATTAAGCTGTGACGTTCAAGGTAGTCCAGACGCTCGCGAGTTATGCACCTCTCCCTTTACCCTGTGCCTAACTGTCATATCGTGCTGGTTTTTGGCATTGCGAACCGCTTCGTTATATTTGTTTCTGGACTCGACGTCGACTTGTCTGTTCTCTACAGTGGGGTTTTGTAAGAAGATTCTGTGTGTCTTGATCGTCTGCTGGCGAGCAGTGTCACACGATTTGTTAAACCAGCCGTTGGGCCCTGGTTTAGGCACTTTCACTGTGTGAGGGATATATTCCTCCATTCCGACGTGGATAATTTCGGTTATCGAAGAACAGACAGCCGACGCGTCCGCGTCAGTGAATCAGACATATTTCCAAGTTTAGCGGCCTGTACGAGTTTCTGCTGCCATAGCGCGTTCTGACCGAAACCTATCCTCCACAACACCGTGGTCAGAGTTACCCAGGGGGGACAGGACAGCAGTGCTGTAAGGGGCAGGATGCGCGGTCAGAAAGAGATCCAGCAGGCTACTGGCGTGTGACGAGACGCGGTGGAAAAAAGTAGGACTCGTCACCAGCTGAGTCAGCCCTTGGGTAAGAGCGAACGCTTCGACTGCACGACCTGCTGCGTCGGTCTTGTTTGAGCCCAACCAAAGCTCGTTATGGGCATTGAAATCACCGAGAAGAACTACCTCTGAAGCGGGATGATTGATGTTCAGGAAGTCGATCTTGACGGCGAGGTATTCAAGTGGGTCACCCCAGTTATGGTGTGAGGGAGAGCGATAAAGGCAGCAAATAAATTTGGGTGATGTTATGGAGTTGAGGCGAAGCCACAGAATATTTTATGCCTTCATCGGGGCTATTGAATGAGACACAAAAAGACGTCCCAAAGGATCTAAAAAATGATGAATTGAACATGAAAAACAAGATAAAGAGATTCCAGTTCAGATTATAATGGTTTATTGCAGTATTATAGTCTGAATTGGCATTAGGTACTTTGTTTTACTTTTCATGTTCGATTCATTATTTTTGTATTTCATATTTGACTTAAGGGATAAGTGTTATTCCTCGAGGTGATTGCATATAATGTGGTGTGATCTGTGATCTTTAACACTATGGATTAAGTTTGTCATATTAGAAAGGGCATCGTTAATATTGGAGCAGGAACAACGTTGTAGTCAAAGCCAGCTCCCTGCATTTGGGATGAAGAGGAAAAGCCATCAAGTACAACGGTGAGCTTTTTTTTTTTGCTTTAGGACCAAGCCATGCAGCCAGAAACTAGGTTGTTATATTTACATTTCTAATTATAGACAAACACACGGCGTCACAACATCCATGGCGAAGGTGAGATTCGAACTCGCGGCCCGACCGGCCGGCTGATCAGTAGCACGACACTCTGACCCACGCGGCCAACCGAGGTTCCCAATCGTGAGCTTACGATGAATCTACCAATTCTTGAAAAGAAGGAGTAGAATAACCATCTAACAGTGTTTCTATTGCCATTGGTGGCAGCCTTTGATGATCAAATGAGTTTCTGGATGCATCCATTTTTGGCAAAACATGTTCTTGGTTTTTTATGCCATTTAAATGTTGCATCACATTGTTAAAGTCGTCTTGGGAGATAAGGCAGATGGACCGCAACAACTCTTCTACCCTTTTTCTCCTGAGAATGCTCTCGGCAGCGAGTCTTCTGTCAATGTTAAAGAACATAATTCTTGAAGAAGTAACAAAACCACACATTGTTTGTATTAGTTGTTATACTCCTTCTTCAATAATTGACATCCAGAGAGAAACTTCGATGCTGTTTGTCTTCAAACCTCCTGTGAGGGGCCGTACAATGTGTTTTTTTTTTAAAAGTTATGTTGACTTGAAAGCTTTAGTTATATCAAAAACGATTTGAGACGCGAACCTATCCAAACTGCTGGGTAAGCTAACTTTATAAGTGTGTGACGTAAAGCCAGGGGAGCCATCTGAAGGCTGAAACTACACAGTTCTCAACCAGGCGATGACGTTGCTTATATTTTAGAAGTTGCCTTCTTCATTGCTCTATATTTTAACAGAGAAGCTAAGCCTGCAGTTGTTTTAACAGTGTTGTATCCTATGTTTGAGAGGCCGTTGATATGTAAGAGGAACAGTGTAGGAGTCAAGACCAATCCCTGGGAAACACACGCGTTAACGTTGTGGGATGAAGAGGAGAACCCGTCAAATACGACAGATATCTTGTGGCCAGAGAGAAAGTTAGCCACCCATCTCTGAGAAGCCATAGGATCGAAATTTGCATAAGAGGGCAGCAAGCCACAGCTGATTGAACGCTTTCATGATGTCAAGAGCAACGACATAAGCCTCACCATAAGACTGGATGAGTTTACTCCACAATTGCGTTAGAGGTATAGCAGAAGCTCTCGATTTATTTATCTCTCCATAACCTTACTTAATCGAAACCGGCCCCCTAGAAAGGACGTTCATGTGGAATTTGTCGGTCAGGATACGGTTATGTGTAGATTTTTTTGCAAAGCTGGTAAAACAATAATCTATCGAGAATGTTTTCTCAAAAAAGAAATGCTTACACTGGTCCATACTCACTTTGTATCCGCTGCTGGTGAGACCGGCGTTTCGTTTGGCCAGCACGCACTTCATCCTGAGGAAGAAAGCGCGCTCGCACTCGTGGTCGTGCGTAGGGGCGGCGTTGTGCGGGAACATGGGCGGTGACAGCACAGCTGTCATTTCTTCGTGGTCCGCCGGGTGGATGTATTCGTATATGCTGTTACCTGTCAGTTCTACCTGAAACAATGTCAAAATAAATAAAGGGGATATTCGTCATCTTCTATATGAGTCTGCCATGGTAGAAGCAAATAATAGGTAACCCAGTAGAAATTTCAGCCACCGATATATAAACGATCAGCTACGGCAGGACGCGTGCACCGCCGTTTACAGCGTCATCGACGCGTTCTCCATACAGGTTCTTACTTATCGGTTCTTTCCAACGATTAATTTTCAAAAGTCGCGAGCGGTCGTAATTTGTATGGATGATTGTATATAGTCTCTGATAGTGATAAATAAGGGAATAATTTAGCAAAACGACCGAGTCGTTACATATCTTGAATCAACAGGTCTATACTCCATTCGTTGTCCATTTACGCCCAGACAAAACACAACATGCCCAAAAGCGAGATTGCACAGGTCCGTATTTTCCTCAATGGTCTTGGAATAATCTAACAAAATGAATGATTATTTTTATAGAAAGTAGTGCACATACTTTTCAAAATTCTGTATTCGCTGGAAGTACTTAAACCATCGTCCGAATGGTTAATATTGATTATTACAGGTTCAATTTGAATATCGATCATATTGTCCAGATCCCACATCTTGCTTTCGATTCTCTCTTGAACTTGACGGATGCAATCTTTCCAGTGGTTTGCCGTCACTCTGTTGACAGCTTCATAAAGCAAATTTTTCACGTCAGAAAATTTGAATGTTCTGTTTGAAGCCACATAGTTTTTTATATTTGTCAAATCATTTCAATGGGATTTAATTTGCAGTGATAAGGGGTAGCCTTAAAACGGTCTTATTTTGGTTCTTAGCCATTTTGTCAATAACATTAAGATTATATTTTTATTTATGCTGCCTGACTAGATGGATAAGCTCCGCTTTGACCGAATTTTCATTAAAACTAATGTCTTTTGTTAGGAGCCATTCTTGAATTTCTGAAAAATTCAAGAAAACTAATAATAATACAAGCACAGTATCTAACAAGTATCTACGATATAGCTAAGTTTAGTGTAGCTAAGTTTTCAGCGTGGGCTCATGGATTCAGTCTACTTGACACCATTTTTACAACACAAATGACGAATTGGTTAATACACGTTCCTGACGGATTCTTTAGGCCAGTGGTTAGTCCATCTAAGAAGGCTTGTCTTGCTGATTTAACTTTCGATTCAGCCCATACTTTAGATTTTGTATGTCCTGCATTTATCCAGGTTTCATCCAAATAATAAATCTTCCTGCCCTGGTCGCGGTATTTCTTTATTGATTTTAAATAATTTCTTCTCCATAAAATAATCTCTTGGCTATCCATCAGAATGCTATTTCTTCCCAGTTTTCTATGCTCAAAATGATGTTCTTTGAGTAAACTATAGTATGTGGTCCTTTTGAAAGTAGCTAAGTCTTCATCACTATTAACCTCCTGTAGTACTTTGTGTATGGTAGGAAGTTCCTGCCTTTCAAAAAATTGATAGACTTTGCGTCTGATGGCATTCCGATGAAAGTATCAACTGTATCCAACAGTTTTGTATTATGCAGCCTCTTGTGTGGTGGAGACGATTTTTTTTTGTTTTAATTCTTTAACACTGCTAAAAATGGTTTTACGATATAAGCCTGTTGTGTTCGCCACACGTCTTTCAATATCATGAATTTTCTTTTTAGGATGCTCTAAAATTTCCCTCTTATAAACGATAAGGACAATTTCTTTTGCCTGAATATTCAAATGTCCCTTCTTGTCACGTTTTCGGGGAGGAGACATCGCTAAAGAGGAAGCGTGGCTGAAGGAAGCATTGGGAGAAATATTCCCAGTTTGATCTGCTGTATCCGCAGACGACATGCTAAAGTATAAACACACGCTATATATGCACCGAATATGAACAGCAACTGCCGGCGTCCGCGTGCCGGCGATACCCCGAGCCTGAGTTCTATCCTGTCGAATCCTGCACTTGTTCGCAGTTTTATGGCCGAATGACCAATAGCTATTGTAACCCTTAGGCGGCTTCCGCTTTGCCGCGCTGCATCTTTGTTGTGCCAAGGCGTAAATGGACTACGAATAGGGTATACTCGTATACAGGGTGACTTTGAAGTTGAGTCATTAATTTTCAGATAATGATTGTAGAAGGAAGATAAACCAAAATATGTGTGTAAAAATAAAAAAAAATGTTACCTTGTTTAATAAAGTATCCTCCCGACAAGTATTTCAGTGCGGACCTGTATTTGATCGTGCGGTCTTGGAGCACCGGCATGCTCTCACCTGTGGGGTCTTAAGTCACCTGATTCACGAGCCCTTTGTACTACATTAACAAAGGCACGAGGGGTTGGTTGCACTCGATTGGGAAACCGATTCGCATAAATCCGTGATGCATCCGGCAGCATTTTGTAAAGACTGCCCCCCCGTAAATAAGAATCATGTCCACAAGTTCAGCATTTTCGTAAACATGTACCATTTTTCATTTCGTTTGAGTCACGCAACAAACATCACTATTCACCCACGCGTTACCGACTGACGAAAAACAACCTGATAAACGTTTCAAATTCTTTCGCTTTTTTGTTTCCGATGCGATGAACCGATATCCGTTGTTGCCAAACACATAATATTATTATTGAGACAGGGCGGTACTCAAACTTCTAAAGGGCTATAACTTTGTTACTTTAATTTTACCAGAAAAATGTTAAAGGAAACAAACATTTCTTTTGATCAGATCTACTCACTGTTAAAATAAATGACTCAACTTCGAAGTCACCCTGTATAATGCATATTGAGATGTGATCATTATGTAATTCTATCGTCAGTCGGTCTGCATTATCTCAATACTAAATCTAAACATATTCAGAAAGACTCTAGACGCGTTATATTTTAATAGCACAGATAAATTGATACCATGCGGATCAAAGACATTCTTGATACACAGAATTTTTTAGTGACATATGCAACCATAGAAGGCATGCCCGGTTTCAGAATTTTCGTATGTTTCTACTATAGCCCAAAATAACCAAAAAGTAGAAATAAGAATTGTTATAATCGGATCAGTAACTTCCAAACTATAGGATTAGAGGACCTCGCTGAAGTTATTTCAAAAACCATTGTTCTGACTCAATTCATCGCCATAAAGAACCTGTTTCATCCACAATATAATCAAGCACTGGCGTGGTGGTAGACATTATGTGTCTCCTAATCAGTCGCTGTGCGCTGCGCGGTTTCGAATCCCGTCCCAAGAGTATTTTTCTCTTAGCTATGGATGTTGTGATTATCCGTAGGTGGTAGATGGTCTCTGACTGCCTTAGGCCTTCGTGGTGGTTCAATCAAAAAAATACAAAGTTAATAGCGCTGAAAACAATCCGACCCTGTACCGCTGTGTCTGACTCTACTTCTGACCGAAGCGAGCACATTGACAGCTCCGGTTTATATACTAAGTGACATATAAATCCGAACACCCAGTTTAAATGGTTTTATTTTAATAAAAGTTGGTGAATGTATTTATCTTACTGTAAATAACAAATGAAAAATTTTTCAGTCTTATCAGTTGGACATTCCGGTTTTTATACTGCTTTTTTTTAATTCACTAACGCTCTAAAAATGAATATTTCAGCCGCAGTAAAGAATCAACGTTGGCGGATTTTGGTTCTTGACATCCTTTACGATCGGTTACGATGCCTACAGTACGGGACCTGTACGATTTCGTCAACTTAGTGAGTTTGATAGGGGCCGAATAGTGGGACTTCGGGAAGCTGGACTTTCTTTTCGGGCAATTGCAGTTAGAGTGCAAAGAAGTGTAGACACTGTGGTTAGGTGTTGTCAGGCATGGCTTCCAGAAGACCGTACGCAAAGAGCAAGGGGCACTGGACGCCGCCGTAGAACATCAGACCGTAAAGATCGCCGCCTAAGATTATTGGCCTTAAGGGACCGTTTTTCCACTACCAGGTCCATTGCAAATGAATGGTTTGCAGAACACGGAAGACCTATTGGCATGCGAAGTGTTTACCGACGAATGAGAAGTTTTGGCTTGTTTTCATACCGGCCACACTGGGTCCTCCCTTTAACTCGAGAACACCGATGTAATCGCCTTGAGTGGTGCAGACAACGGTCACTCTGGGATCAGGAATGGAACAGTATTGTCTTTAGTGACGAGTCTCGATTTTGTTTAGGCATGCACGATGGTCGTGCCAGGGTTAGAAGGCGACGTGGGAAAAGGAGGAATCCACAGTTATTTGTTGAAAGACATGTTCATCACACTGTTGGAGTTATGGTATGGGGTGCTATAGCTTATGGTTCCAGGTCACCTTTAATCTTCATCAGAGGTAACACGAACGCGCAGCGTTATATCCACGAAGTTCTAGAACCCCATCTTTTACTCTATCTTGACACCCTGGCAGATCCAACTTTCCAACAAGATAATGCCCGACCACATGTTGCAAGAGTCACAATATACTTCTTTCAACATAATGATGTCACATTGTTACCATGGCCACCAAGATCTCCCGACGTATCCCCAATTGAGCACGTGTGGGATATGATGGGTAGGAGATTGCTCAATTTGCAACGTCCTCCTCAGACTCTAGAAGCACTTCGAGAGGAGTTGATGGTTGCCTGGAATGAGATACCACAGGAGGACATTGACCACCTGATCAGAAGCATGCCTAGGCGCGTTGGGGAATGCGTAGCACATCAGGGTGCATCCATACATTATTAAAGGTCAAAGGGCTTTAAAGCAGTGCAATCATTTTGAAATTTTTGTCATTTACTTATTATGCTTCATTAAGTACTTATACAAAATTTTATTAAAATAAAACCATTTAAACTGGGTGTTCGGATTTATAGGTCACTTAGTATAGTAAATAAAATAAAAAAGAAATAAAAACAAATTTACAGACCTCGTGCGGGTATTACATTGAATCAGCGAGGCTAAGGTGCATCAACGTGACATCATAGTATAACCACAATGACCTAGTTTGTGTCGCTATGAAAAAAGGGCACTGATGGTTTGAAGTTAAATTACCTGTGATAAACCTAAATGTACGGATGCTGTTTCTGATATGTACATGATTTTTCCATCTGGTGCTACAACAAATATGAAACCATCTAATGTTTGTAGAAGATATGACCCCAGTTCTTTGATAGGTGCTTCTCTGGGGTTTGGTATTACTGGAGATGCGCCCCATGCGTCTCCGAGACCTGGAAATTAAAAAAAATATGGTAACGTTTTATGCTTAATTTTTTTAAATTTACAGACATACAGGGTTATCCAAATTAAGTGTCCACCATTAGTAACTTTGTTATTAGTGAAAATACAAAGTTGTTTGAATTAGCAAACTAGTAGCATTTTTAACGCTGGTAAAAATGAGAAATAAAAAAAAAACAATTGAGAGTCGTTATTTTGATTTTTTTCAGTATAATAACATTTTTTTAAATGGAAACCCCTGTATATTATATTTTTTTCTGTTAAAGCATCAAATTTTAAACAAAAAAGCTTACAATAACTTTTCTCCTAGGTTACAAATTGTTGAAGTTATGGCCTCCAATCTGAAACAATTAAATTGTATCGACAAACTTTATTTTCAACATCAACTTATAATCTTACAAAATACAATAACAATTTTTTTTTAAGAAGATGCTCGAAAACACCACCTTGTTCTTCAATACATTTTTGGGCACGTTTTTCAACTGCTCGAACTGTCTTAAGTATGGTCCTACCATCTGTCTGGGTTATCTTTTCCCTAACTGCAGTCTTTAACGCGTCAAGGTTATCGTACCTTCGCTTGTAAATTTGGTTCTTTAAGTAACCCCACAAGAAGTAATCAAGTGGGTTTTAGATCTGGTGATCTGGGAGGCCACTGTATTGGGCCATTTGTTCCTATCCACTGATCATTAAAAGTAGTACTTAGAAAATGATAAGTACCTCTGGAGTTGTGGGCAGGTGCGCCATCTTGCTGAAAATGCAGATGATGTCTACTTATAAGATCCAATTCGTCTAAGAAATTAGTCAGAATTTCTGACATAAATTCCACATATCTTTCACCAGTTAGGGTTCCCTCATAAAAGAACGGGCCAACAATTTTTGAACCAATTATACCGCACCAAACGTTGAAACTGAAACGGACTTGTGGGCCTCTTGGATGTACTAACAAAAGATTTTCTCTTGACCAATAATGGTGGTTTTTTCTATTAAACATTCCAGAATTTGAAAAATTTGATTCATCTGTCCATAAAAGGTAACGAAAGTTATTTACATTTTGGCGACAGAAGCTAAGATACCAATGGCAAAAAACAAGTCTTCTCTCTGGATCCCCTGCCAAAAGCGTTTGAACTGGTCGGTACTTATACGGAATAAATTTGTATTTTTTTAAAATCCTTTGAACAGTACCATAACTGAAATTAGAGTCCTTGAGAATATCTGCTATTGAATTCTCACGATAAGCTTCAAAATATCCAATAACTGCAATTTCCGTGGCCTCGCTTATTATGAATTCTTTTTTTGCCCTTGTTTTAGCAAAAACATTTTCGTTGCCCCTAAATTTTCGATAAAGTCTCAGAAAATATCGTTCATACGGTTGAATGCGAGCGGGATATAATTCACTGTAGTATTCTCTTGCTCTCAAGGAGGATTTTCTGCACACTAAATAGCATTCTAACATATCACACTTTTCTTCATGGGAGAACATTTTTCTTTAAATTAATGACACAATAAAGCTTATAAACAAGTATTTACACTAATGTTTGACATTATTTGATTTTATCATTGTTTTCCAAAGCCTTCTAGTTGCGAGTATGTCCAGTTTAACAATTTGTCGCTTATCTTAATGCTGTCAAATCGCGAACGCCATATTGTTTTCATAGCCGTCTTAATATTATAATACTGCAAATAATTAAAAATATTTATCGTTATTTTGACTTTATTTTTGACTTTAGCGGAAAAGTCATTATGAACTTTTTTGTTTAAAATTTGATGCTTTAACAGAAAAAAATATAATATACAGGGGTTTCCATTTAAAAAAATGTTATTTTACTGAAAAAAATCAAAATAACGACTCTCAATTGTTTTTTTTTATTTCTCATTTTTACCAGCGTTAAAAATGCTACTAGTTTGCTAATTCAAACAACTTTGTATTTTCACTAATAACAAAGTTACTAATGGTGGACACTTAATTTGGATAACCCTGTATACTATAAACGCATATTTTTATGTTGCTTGTAGTAGTGATTATACCCGCCAAGGCTCTTTTTGAATGTTAAAAAAGTAACGTCCAATGTTCAATTTTTAAATGTTTCTAAAAATTGTACCTCTATTTTTTAAGATACGTGCAACCATTCTTGTTGCTTAAATTTTAAAAATACCACAGACATGAAGGTACTTTTGAATAGAAATAATCTTCTACCTGAGTGTCTTTCGTTACTTGTGGCTTTTTCATATGCAAATTCATCGAATAAACATAAGACTGCGTATGTAACATTTTTATTAGCTTTGTCAATAGAAATTCCTTATCAAGAGGCTTAGTACAAATTCACTCATTCATCTCCTTTCCCAGGATAAGATCGGGGATATTTAAATTACAAAAGAGATTTTTATCGCGGCCCAAACGGACCGCAAACGCAGATACCACTGAATACCGAACGTGATATTAAAATGCAGATGTATTATTTATTCTATAATCGCATCTTGTGTTTGTTGTTTCTGCAAATTGTTTATAAACTTAACGAAGCAACAGCATTGGCAGGAAGTCAGCATAAGTGACTGTGAAAACCGGATCAAAGTAACGAGATCATCATCTAACGATCTTCATTTTTATACTATACAGGGTATCCCAATATTCCGTGGGCATAGAAGTACCACGTATTTTTAGTCTCAAAGTAAGTTGATTAGACATGATTTATCTCTGTGCTAAAACATGAGCATAAACATGAATATTGTTAGTATTATATTTTTCTGTATATACTTGCCGTATGTTTGTGTTTTCAGTGTTTAGTGTTTACATATCTTGTTTAGACATCCAAGTGCTATAGGTTAAACTTCGCCGAATGGATGGTTGCTAAATTTTTTGCCGACACACAGACAAAGTTTAGTGCAAGTTTCTGAGTCCCTTAATGTCTTGGCTGTGCCAAAAGTGACGAAAAATTAGAGAAACATGTAGGTAATATTTTTTTAAATGTCCGACTTCTCAAACAGGCGGTGAGAAGAGCCTTAAATACAGAAAGACGATTTTGTTTGGATAGTCTGTTGTATTTTGTATACGGTCTCATATCGTATTGCCCCTTGAGATGATCGAGCAGTATTGATATTCTATCAAATCAGGGCTAAAGCTTCGATAGAAGGGACCCCAAGTAGGGTTGCCGGACATTATTTTCTTTGTTAGCAAGGGGCGATATCGACCCGCACGGGTATTATGAAAAAAACCTATGAAACGTCAAAAAAACCTATAAAATGTCATCTTGCAGACTAGGTAGTTTTTAGGATCTAGGATCGTTGTGAGCGTCCAGCTATGGAGGAATGACTCAACTACACGCATTATTGGTTGCATATGCTTTGTGAAGCCGAGTAGTCTGTAGTTTCCATCTCTGAGAAGAAAGTTGGTTGAATAGCAAAATCGCATCTGGATGATTATGAGTATTGGTCTGCATGTGTATAAAATCATGTGTTATTTGCTGTGTGAGAAAATCATTACTGAATATGCTGCCAATGAAGTACCTATATCTATTAGCTGTGCCCGACGGATTATTTATATGTTGTCCTTTCTGAATGCAGGTTATGTTCAAAGTTATAAATTACGATTTTTACGTTTTTTTGGTGTTTTCAAAAACCTTTGAGAGAATTACGGGAGATCACCACCGCGCCTACGTTGAGTGTAATTACTGTTAGCTTGTTTAAGTGTATTTGAGATAAGAATCCAATGGAATTATCATCAACACATATTATTAACACACAAATCCTCACTGTGCACCTATGCATTGCCGTTTCCGTCTAGCTTTAGCAAACGATCTACAGTTTAGACTTCCAGTAATGCTATCTCTGAAGCAGATTTTACATCACATCAGAGCCAAACATTGATAACTGAAGCCTCATGACGTTTAGGCAACACGTACAACTACAAAATGAGCTCACAACGTGTCTATCAGCTAGTGCTGAGTTAACATCTCGTAGAAAAACTAAATAATGTCACAAAAAAAACAATGCTGCTCTTGTGTAACAGACAAAAAATAACTTTTATAACGCTTAAAAATTAAACAAACCCAACCAACATTTTTCTCTGCGATAAAGAGCCGGAAGGGCAGGACACATTGAAATTTGGCTGGACAGAAGCGAAAAAGCTGGACGGATGGCAATCCAAGTCCCTCTCGGTGCAATGTCCAGTTCTTCGGAGAGAGAAAAAAAACGCATTGTCCTTGACAAATCGATACACTTGGCTCTACTCAATTTTTCCAAGAGCGTCAAAAAAGTACGCATTTTACTATGGTCTGCTGATAATCTCCGAACAACTACCCCGCTTGTTTCCTGCATAGCTTTGGTTTTAGGCTCCACTCACTTTTCTGTAGAGATGTGCCGGTATTGGCGTAACTGCGAGTAACCGGTTACCAAGTAACTATTTACGAATACTTTTTACTTATTATATTATCGCATCCGTACCTTCAGTACTGTTTTTTGTATTGGTATTTGGTACATAATGAAATACAACTTCTGGAAAATGTTTTTTTGTGAATCTTCTCGCATAATTAAGTTCTATGCTGAATTTATTCCAAGAGTGTAAATACTCTATGGATGTAGTTTCATGTTCATGCATAAGCGTTGGGGACATATAGCTTACTTTATAACCGCTTGCGTTATCACCGTTTTATGTTATTTCGACAGATAAGGGTATAAACTCGAAATAAGACAGCGCAAAGATAGAGAGATGCTGGTGCTGAGTAGCCAAGAAGCACGAAACAACTGTCCATGGTTGATTGTTTAAGAGTATAAACACTGTAAAAATAGCGGAAAGCATGGATAACGGAAGCAGTTATGAGACCACTCATTCTCATGCTTTCAGATTTTATTTTGTTGGTAGTTAATGGATAATCTTTAGAAAGTAACAGTATATCCCATCTCTATTTTTCTGCTCCATCTATACTACTCACCATCTGGAAATACTTGTCTCATCTTGAGGTACGAGGTTGTCAATCGAATAACCGATGCCTTATCTAATTGTGATGTGATAGCTGCCGGTAGAGGCAGCAGTTTCGCTAGTTCAAGAAATTCGGCGTTCTCTTTCTCTCTCCTGCTTCTGGCTGCATTCTTGCTTTTCTCCTTCATGGCACCTTTAGTGCCAAGAACGTCTGCTGCAAGGAAAAAATAATGAGTAAAATGCTAGATCATTTGCCATTTTTTTTATATACTCCAACGACCACCAAGGCCTAAGGTCTAAACACCCATTGGGTACCCTGGGGCTATAGGGGGATACAGCGGAAAGGGGGACGCCACACGGACTCTGGCGAGTGAACACGTGTGCATGCAACATGCACACATTCTGGCTCCGCCTACGAGATCCGCTGGGTGGTACCTCCGCGTTCGACAGTCAGAGACCGTCTACCACCTGCGGAGAATCACAACATCCATAGCCAAGAGAAAAACTTCTCCTGGGACGGGATTCGAACCCGCACGGCAACTGATCAGGAGACCGAAGAGTTACTGCGGCTACCGCTGCTGCGCGTACAAATTGTTTGGGGCGCACTTAAGATTAGCGACACTGTGAGGTGAGACTTTAAGGCTTCCACACAGTAGGCTACCAGTGGTGACCGCAGGTAAGGTCGCATATCCCTTTTTACATCAGTCTGTTTGAAGGAGTATTCTTAATACTTTTCGTCTGATAGTTTCATGGTGTGTATAGAAATGGCTGGAAACCAATATATTATCTTTTTTTTGTCAAAAAACGCATTTTTGGTGATAGATTTCCCCGCACATTTGGCCCCAAGACAGAATGATAGAAATCTTTCCAATACCCGCGTCGAGTCGACATTTCGTTTTGCTGGTATGATTACTCATCGCACCTGTGATCAGATCGCATTTGATCCATTCAGTTCTTTCGATGCTTTGAAAATAATGACAAAATCAGGGATCATGTGCATTCAGATTGTCGATTGACAGATTGATCGGGGAAAAGTTAAATTTGACTAACACAACCGTTCAAGTTATTTTAAAGGTGGCAATGTATGTAATTGTATTTGAAAAAAATCATCTCATCATTTAATTTGCAGACCTTGTACATGTTCATAATTAGCATTCTTTTAGACAGGTAACTTGTGCCGAAAATAATCCTTTATGAGCTGATTACAGTGTTCCGTTAAAGTGCAGAGTCACCTTTTTTTCTTCAAAAAATCTTTGCTTTCCTTCAAACTTATTTTGCAGCAATTCATGCACCTTCCCTCTTTTCCATGTGCAAATATAAGAGCAGTAACATTCTCCACAATAATTGAGGTCGCGTTACTCGTAATTATGAATAAATTTTCAGGCTTTTCAAGTCTTCCAGCCACAAATGAAGGCTTGTCACTTGAATTTTATTATCTTATTTTTTGCCGCTTGGAAATGTCGAATCGCTAATGAGTCGCGGGAGTTAGATGATGAGAGAGCTCTGAGGGTATTGGATGCTTCCGCAATGTGAAAGTTTCATTCGGTTTGCCAACTTTAAATTACATTTGGAGTTTGATTATCCACACTGAATTCTGACTGTCATTGCCATGCTTTTAAAGAATTTACACAAAGTTCTTTCTATATTTCTCATATTATTTTCGGTTCAAGGTAATTTATGTGTATTTAAGATTCGCCTTCGCTGCACCACGTGTCAATTTTTTCAACTACTTCTCTTGAGCGGTATTCTAAATCCTTTTCATCTGATTATCTCAAAGTTTGTATAGAAATGACTAAAAAATAATGTTATCAATTTTTTTTGGCAAAAAGTGCATGTTTTTCTTCAAACGTAATTTGTTAACTATTAGTACAGCTCTCAGAGCGATTACTTTTATTCTTATCACTTTTTGTCTTCGAAAAATCTTTGATTTTCTTGAAACCTCATTTTACAGCAAATTGAGTTTTCAGGAGATGCAAAAATTTTTTGAAGAGAGAAAGTGATGATAAAGATTACTATTATTTGTTAACAAGTTACGATTGAAGACAAAAACAAACTGATAACATTGTTTTTCGGTCATATCTATAAACACCATGAAACAATAATTAGACGAAAAGTATTAAGAATCCTCCAGACAGACTGTTGACATGCGATCGATATTTATATAGCACATTCACCGTATTTTGCAAAAATTAAAATAAAATTTTAATTATTCATGCACTGATGTATAGATGGTCTAATCATATCAGCAAAACATCTGCAGAAACATTGCGGGGAATCACTTTCGGCTATTTTAAAAAAAAAACAGTATAGTGTCGTGTATTACGTATGCAGCTTTTTTACAATAATCAACCCCCCTCCCTCTTGTCAGCGAAAGCAAACTCTCACTCCCTTCTCATACTTACGTAAATATTTTGTTACATTTCACTTTGAAGCAAGTATTGGCTATCACGCACATGTTCTGAATATCATCTAATGTCTGAAAAATCAGGAAACTCTGATTCGTCCGACCCAATATACTTTGCAGTAACAAAAAAACATCAATTTCTATTGCAATCCATACCTCTGCTAATACATTTCCGGTAAACTCAAAGCTGGATCTTTCTAAATGTTCATTCTATGTAACGCCGAGTTCATCCAAATGTGACCCAAAAAGGTCATGAGACAATATCAGACTATATAGCCAGCTTTCGGGTTTCTACGGGGTCTTTTCCCCAAAATAATTTTAATGTTTTGTTTTATTCACGCAAGGGGTATTTAAAATATGGACGCATACATTTTTGTGTGAAAACTTTTTATCAAGATTAAATATCAAGTGATTGTATGGCCGAAAACACTCTTCAAATGAGACACTTGAGAGAGCTACACAATTACACTACACATTTGAAGACGATTCGCAAAAAAAGATTCTAAACTTCGTTTTTCGACCTTTCTGAAATTTTCGATAACTTTTGAGCGCAGTCTAAAACACATTTCAGTTGCTCAAAAAGTCTAGTTATTCGACGTTTTGGTAAGTCAAAAAACTCGAATCCAAGCATTTCTCGTATCTCACCTATCACTAATGATGCTCAGAATTTAGATTTCAGATTTCATTCCTAGTAGAATAGCTGGTCTTCCACTTAACCCTACTTAATGCGCTTAACTGACATATAAATTCAAGCATAAAATATGAAGATACAAGAATTAGGTAAGATACAAAAATCAATTGTACGCGGCAGTTTCAAAACAGTGACGACGTATAAAAGAAAGGAAAAATTGACAGAATACAAACAGAAGAAAAAAAGAAAAAATTAAATGAGCGATAGATGTAATTATATACGTACGAGTATAGGTGCACATTGAGGTTATATAAAGTGTTAAAATAAGCCATTTAAATATTTAACATGATATATTACTATAGATATCTCTATCGAGATCTCAGAAACCTGGAGGAGTGTTTTGTAAAAGAATCTAGCGATTTGGATTTCAAGCATTGAGGGATACCATTATATGTTTAGGAGAAAAATGTTCTTTCAAGAGTACGATGAGCTGGTGGTGTGATTGTAGTTTTAGACTTTATGTTTACTTTGTGTACGTCTTGGCGAAGGGTTATTTTGTTATACAAATTTGAGGGAGTTTCCATTATCACAACCTTATGATGAAAGCATGCACTTGCAGTTGCCGACTATCCTTCATATTTAACCAGTTTGTTCCGACTAACTTATGTGAAATACTTTTCAGTCGCAAGCACAAGTTTTGAACTTACTGAACTGATTTTTTTTATCTAGGAGCATTTTAACATTTCATTAGTATTCATTTGGTGCTACTCACATGTTTGTACTATTTCTGACATGAAGCTATCGATATTCTCGACAACTAAACACTTCATAATCACCCCACTCCAAAAAAAAAAACAAAAAAAAAAAACGTAATACACCTGTCGCTACCGCGTTCGCCACCTGACTATATTTCGAAAAACCGCATTCGCTGTTCCTGTCGGTCGTTGGCAATTTGGAAATCCCGGGGTGTTTGACGCAAGGTGTAAATATAGCGGACCAAATCATTGTTAAGGGTAGTTTTGATACTTGGCTTGAACATTCTGCTTGTGCCGCCAGCAAAGGTGTGTCGGAAGGTGTTGGTGGGGCCGATAGGTAGACGCCCATCGATCGGTGGTAAAATTGAACGGAATTATCAAACTTTAAAGGGATTTACCCAGCTTAGATCATTAGGATTGTAATGTTTAATATGTCCCATTCAAAGGAGAAGCTGATTTTGTATTACGCTTTAATTTCTGTGTAATCGGTGAACCTTCCGGGATTTCCTAAGCAATTTTATTCGTTGCAGATACAGTTATGTAGAATACTGGCAGTGGTTTGATGTGATTAGATTAGGGATAAACATCATAAGCAAGTTATTCCTTTGAGACATCCGTAAGCCCGATGTTTTTTTAATCAAAAATGTGGGTTCTATTATATGAACAAAGCAGTAGCGGTGGCCCTTCAGAGAATCCTGTTAGATTTACCCAGCTTAGATCATTAGGCTGTAATGTTTGAAATGCTGCATTGAAAGGAGAAGTTGATTTTGTGTTATGGTTTAATTTCTGTATAATCGGTGAACCTTCAGGGATTTTCTAAGCCGTTTTATTCGTTGCAGCAACAATTACATATTTAGAAGATTTGATGTGCTTAGATTAGGGATAAACATCATAAGTTATTCTTTTGAGACATCCGCAAGCCAAATGTTTGGTTAATCAAAAGTGTGGATTGTGTTATATGAACAAAGTAATGGGTGATTTTTTTGCTAGTATCTTTTTGGCAACACTGTTTTTGACAGATGAAGCGTGAATCGTGTCTTTAACCATGAATCGACTTACGAACGAACAACGCTTGCAAATTATTGAATTTTACTATCAAAATTCATGCTCGGTTAAGAGAGTGCATCGAGCACTGCTTCCAATTTATGGGCAATTTGGTCGGCCTACTGAGGGAGCTATTCGGAAGCTTGTGACTAAATTTCGAACCCAGTTTACATTATTGGACATTAAACCACCAACACGCAGACGTAGAGTGAGGACTGAAGAAAATATTGCGGCTGTATCCGCCAGTGTTAGTGATGACCGTAAAATGTCGATTCGCCGCCGTTCGCAGCAATTGGGCCTCTGTTACTCCACTACGTGGAAAATTTTGCGACAGGATTTGGGTGTAAAACCTTATAAGATACAGCTGGTGCAAGGATTGAAG